GCTGCTCTGTAGCTTTCAATGTATGTTTATATATTTCTATATCTATATTTGTATGTATACACACACACAGAGGTGTTGGCTCTGGTGGTGTCTTGCAGCCCCACTTGTCTTAATGGAAAATGAATGGAACTGTGCTTATGCCACGGATGGCACTATTGATTTTTCAGCGCAGAGGGGCTGCGCGTTGCTTAAAGCTTAGTAACAGAACTATCCGTGTAAAGAAGCAACCATTTGTAGCCAGGTAGATTAGGTTTTGTCTTGCTTTACACAGCTGTGTTAAAGTAACCCTGTAAGTTAATAAAATAATAAAGTTGATGTTAGCTTTATGTCTGAGAAGCAGTCCCAGATCATTCGTGTTTAAGCCCAGAAGAGTACTCGGGTGGCTCTTCAGTCCTCTGTCCTAGACTGAGTACAGCTACGTCACTCAGAAAATATATATATAAGCTGGCCCAAAGGCTGCCAGGGCTGGAAGTGCCTGGTTCACCTAGGTGGCTTCTGCCATGGAGCAACTCTTCTCCCAGGAAGAAAGATCTCTGAGCTCAGAGTTGAGAGATATTCTTTGTCATCGAATAAGGCAGTTTATTCTTCTTTTGCCATTTTCCTGGCTCCCTGACCAGAGGAGAAAACATCAGGTGCCGACTTGCTTTCCCTGTCACCAAGTCCCTCATACATAATTTTTCTTCATTTTTTTCTTTCCCCCCTAAACCTGTCCTCAGATCTTTCTTTATTTATCTATACCGCAGTGTGATGGCCAGAACTGTCCTAGCACTTGACCTAGAGAAGCTCAAGATGGAAAGTTATTCCCGTATTTTACATTTGTATTTATGTTGTCACAGTAACAGGCTTTTATCTCAGATTCCTCTTTCCTTGGTTATTTTTGGCAAGAGTATCTCAGCCTGTGGCGTGGTAACCTTATGTATTTTTGTCAGTATTGCCGCCTGCTTAGCTTTGGGGTTTTTGTGTTGTTGAGTCTGATCTCCCTCGACCTACCACCAGCCTGTCAGAGATCCCTCCAGGAAATCCCTGAAATGTTGAGGCTGGAAGCCGGCTGAAAGCAAGCCTGTAACCCAGTGTTACCCACCAACTTCCCTGTTTCATTCGAGAAAATGTCACCTCAAGCACTGTGAGAGTTGCAGCAACAGCATGTCCTCCTCTGGAGCTTCATTTGTTCTTATCCACCAAGCTCATTTCCATGTTTGAGTGTGGTGTTGTCATTACATGCTTTATTCTTGACCAGCCTGTTGGTTCTTATTTATTCTCTTGTTATCATCTGAGTGTATCCCTATTGGTTGCTTGGGGAAAGTTTTCAGCATCTCTTCTGTTTTTGAAGGTAGCTGGTTGGTGTGTTGTGGTCCTTTCTAAGGGTGGACAATTGACCTTTCTCAGTCAGATGTATCTTCTCCATGAATTTCCAATATTTATAGTTTTAATTGACGATAGCTCTGGCTACATTGCATACGGGGTGGTTTCAGTGATTTTCAGATTTCGGTAACCAAGAGCTCTCATGAATTTCTTCACCTTCTGTTTTCTTTTTTGAAAGGATGTTTGCATCTCATTCTCTGAACAGTTAAAATTATTTTCTTTTGATGTTTGTCACCTTTACTTTCTTTTTCTTCTCTTGTTCCACTTTCCCTTTTACTACAGATTTCTGCGGTACATGTAGTGAGACTAGATAACCAATTTTTGGTAAGCTTTTTTGTTGTGTTTTGTTTTACTAAGCCGCTTTTAGGCTTTTGTGGCTGTTCTCTTTCAACAGTAGCATGAAGACCGTCCCGCTAATTTGACAAATCAGTTTCTAAAGTTTATTTCTTCTCGTATCAAATCAGACCCCAAGTCTTTTGATCAGCCCTTCCTGGAAAGCCACCCTCTAACTCACGGCCGACAGCATCTGAGGTCCGTTGGCCAGTCCCTGTGCCTGTCTGTCTGTCTGTGCCTGTCCAGCACGGGCTGTGACCCCGCAGCCATCGCGCTGCCTGTCACCCAGCAGCTCTGCGAGCGGGATGCGGTAATTAACAGGTACCCGCCTTCGCTTCATCAGTGCTAACCTGTAACCCCCTCTCTGTCTTTCGAGCCCCTGCTGTGGTGGTCGTGGGGTGCTCACGCTGCCGGTGGGTTCCTCCTCTGGTGAACTCCCTGTGGTCCCCGGTGCTTTGCCATGGAGTTTTCCTCCTCTCCCAGCTCGCAAAGATGCTTTCCAAGGAGCCGTGCTGCCGCCACCCCCCAGGCTGGGACCCCCAGCTGCTCCCTCGCTCTCGGGGCACCTTCCCCACGGGTCGGGGGTGGCACAGCATCCTCCGACACCCGTACCTCTGTCCGGGCAGGACCCACGGGGGTGCAGCCGCAGGAGGAACAGGCGTCAGCGCCGATGATGCTCATTTTTCCACCCGCTGCTGCCTCTGCCCTCCGGGGCATCCCTAATAACACAGCAAAAACTTCGCTCTCTCTCTGGGAGCACCTGCCTGGCTTTCTCTGCAGAGCCCCAACCTTCGTGGTGAGTCGAACTCTCCTCGCTTTTCTATTTGGCAGCATAACTTCTTTTTTTTTTTTTTTTTTTTTTTTTTTTCCTGGTGGGGCGGCGCTTGGCCCAGGCAGCGGCGGGGCTTCACCACCCCGGGGCGCGAGCAGGGTGTGCCACAGCCGCTGCGGAAGCTCTGCGTCAGGCAGTTATTATGCCAGTTGCTAAGCAGCATTTTAATATTTACCTCCACGCCTGACACGCGCCCGTGTGTTGCTTCACCCCTTCTGCTGTTCGGCTGTCGGACGCGGCCGGTGAACAGCCGGGCACGGCTGGCCACGGCGCACAGCCCTCGGAAAACCAGAAAAACCCACGGCAAAAAGTAGTTCCCCGGAGCCCAGCTGGTGTTGACAGGCTGCGTGGTGGCTGCCAAACAAGGGGTCGGACTGTGGCAGCTTCTTGCTTTGTCAGTCTGTGAGGCTCAGTGCGGTTGCAGACCCTGTACCCTAAAGGGCTCGGAAGGAGGAGGATCCCCTTCTTCCTTCTAGTGGCTTTTTTGGGGGGAAATTGGAGGCCTTGAATATTGCGGAATTCAGTCAAAAAAGCGCTGCAAATGTAACGAGGCACACTGTGCCCCGGGGGAGCCAGAAGATGACGGTGGTACAGCACTACCAGTGCACACAGAGGTTGTGGGAGGGGACCCTGTGCTCCCCACCACCCTTCCCACTTCTCCCCTCCAGATCCCCAGGACAGGCTGTTCTTTCCCCGAATCAACCCTGCATGTTTATGGGGAAATTGGCTTGTCCTTCTCCCTAGCTGCTGGTCGGCAGCCATGCATTAAACTGTTTTCTGTCCCCAAACTAGTCTTCTTCATCCACGAGCATTTAAACTCCTCATCTCTTAGTTTCTGCTAGCTACTGCCATCCAGCTGGATAGGGTAGAAAGAAGCAGCATCTGGTTTCTTTGGGGACATTTTCACTAATCTCTGAAAGTTGTAGTAGTGCTGCTCTGCTGGAACCTGGGAAAGAATTTTTTGGTGCATTGTAAGGAAAAGGCTTGGTAGGTCCTTTCTGAGGGGAAGAAGAGCGAAGGGCTCAGATAAATGTGTTTTTATCAAACGAACAGAGACTGAGGTGTCTAATACAAAGCTGTAGAGTAGATACCTCCTCGTTAGTCATGCAGAAGGAATTCAGATTCATTTCATGGAGAAGAAAGAAAAGGAAAGGAAAAACTATTAGAGAGCAAATTAAGAAAAATACGGTGTTGCTTACCGATTACCTGATGGTGGTAGTGGAAATATATTAAACGGTTGTTTAAAAACTTTCGTTCCCTGTCCTGATGTAGGAGGATCTGTACATTCCTGTGTGCATCTCCACCCATACAAAAGTTTCCATCTGTTACGTAGTCAATCTATACGCATATACATATATGGAAACAGGTATCATGTGCTTACATTTCAGTAGTGGGATGATTGCAGATTCTCTCTAGTATATATTTACAGTAGTCAAACCTTACTAAGGTGTGCAAGATACCAGATACACTGGTGGGAAGAGCATGCCGTCATCGTCACCATGTACCTTTTAAATTCTGTACAGTTTTTGTCTTATTGTTGAGAAGTGCTTGTACTATGACAAGGCATGGAAATGAGAAAATTTCACCTTTGGAGATAAGAAGTCACCCTAGGTATGGAATAGTAATATGGCTTCTGAGTTCATTCAGGCAGTGTGTGTTATTGTACAGCAATTGCATTGGTAAACATGAAGAGAAAATCTAGAAAAATCAATAATTTGTTCAATTATATGTAATCTATGAATGTGTTGCTGTGTTTGAGATGGCAAATGCAGCTTTGAGCAGAGGAACATGAAGCAGGAATAGAGAGGTAGTATTACACCTGTATAAAGTATTGATGAGGCAGTTAGACTATTAATTTCTGTAACTTGAAGTTTGATACAGTCACAGCAGAATTAAAACATGCTGTTCTCAGATTAACATCATTGAAGCCAGGAAAACAGACTGTGCCATTTGCAGCTTTTCCAAAGGGTCTCATGGTGTGTAAAAACAATTGTAAGTGTGTTACATACAGGTTAGTTATTCCTTTTTATCTCAACAAATTTGAGTTTGCCAGTCTAGTTTTAAATGTTTTGTATGAGAAGCTAGTAAATCCAAAAGTACAGTTTTTGCTAAGAAGAAGAAAAGAAATGTGGACGAATCCTGCCTAGTAGATATATATGCTTCAGTGTGAGAGCAGGATTTGAGTTTGTTTCGATACTTGATATGAGACTTGCTTTCATGTCAGAGGAAAAAAAAATGATGTTGTGAGAAGGTCTAAGGTCATCATGCTGTTGGAATCCTACATACATGTATTGTAGAAATACAGGCAAGACAGAAGATCTAAAATGCTAACTCTCATTTTCAATAGTAATTTATTCTTATTTTTTAGCTGGATAGCTAATGAATTCAGGTTGCTTATGCTTGCTTAATAGATGTATATATGACAAAGGTGAAATGAATTAATTTGCTTTTTTTTTTTTTTTCCTCTCAAAAGCAGTCCCCCTCTGCCGATGCATCAAAACCAGAAATTATGAAGCCATCTGAAACAAAGGTATGAATTTCTGAGAAACTCATGCTTGCAGTTAAGCACAAATACATGAAGCAGTGGAATTTCTTTCTTAACACTTTGCTACTGAGTAATTTTACTTCGTATTTTTCTTGTCTGTAGCTTAGTTTCCTCTTCAACAAATATCTAAAAAATGCTGTACAAAGCACTCAGAGGATTTTGTGACAGCAAGAAAAAATTTTAATTAAAATTTTTAATTTTAGCTCAGTCACACTTTGTGACGTGTATAGCTCCCCCAGTGTAATTACAGGGTTATTTACCTAATGATGATTTTTCACATATTCCAAGCATTCAGGACAAGTTTCAGCTTTTAGTGTATGTACAATTGCATCTTCTCATTAATCTCATATCTTTGTCTGTCTGACAGCTTCCTTGCCTTTGTCCTTTACGCTTGTTCTGTCTTGTCTTATGACTAGAACTTTAGTGTCGAAGCTGTGTCATCAATCACGTACTTGTTAGAAGAGAGTCATAATCCTCCCTTATGCCTCTGTTGCCTAACAGAATTTACGTGTATTATTTAAACAAATGATTAATGATTCTCTCCCTCCTTCATTTTCCATAATCCTAACAGTGAAACAGACACAAATATTGAATAGCAAACCAGTCCAGCGGGGGCTTGGGCAGCGGTAGGAGCTGGGACTGCCTGCACCTTGCAAAAATGCGAATAAAGGAAGGGTGAGGGTGGTGGGGTTGGGAGAGGCCCCCGGGGGTGGTCTGGTCCAGCCCCCCGGGCAGGCAGAGCTCTGCAGGTACCTCAGGCTGCCGACAGCCCTGCAACCGTAGCCTGCACAGTTTGGTCACCTTTGTTATGATGATTTTTTTTTTTTTTTTTTTTCTTTTATCAAGTGAGAAGTTCCTTTGCTGCCGCTTGCGTCTGATGCTTCTTGTCATTTTAGCGTGCATCTCTGAAGACGGTCTAGCTCCATCTTCTCTGTGTCTGAAGTTAGCCATTACAGTCCCCTCAGCCTTCTAAAACCCTTTTCTTCCATGCACACATGTAGGACTTAGACTGGTAGCAGTGAGCTGGACGGCAATTAAACCTTTTCCATTTGTGCACAATCATCATTACACGTAAATGAAGGTATCTGCAAGCGTCCACTTCCATCTTCCTGTTTTGTTCGTGGGCAAACTCGTTTGTGTCGTGTTTGTTCCTGATGCTGTTCTCCACACGGTTTAACCCAGACAGCTGTCTAAAAATAGTTATGGTTTTTCCCTAGTTGAAATTTGAAGTAAGTCTCAGAAGAATGTGGTAAATTTCTAATCAGACCTTTAAAACTGGTGTTGGCAAGATGAGACAAAAATAGAGTAGCAGAGGCATGCTTCAGCACTGCGAGGCTGGTAAACACAAATCCCTTTGAAACACTGTCCTGGATTTGCATGGGTAAGGCAATTAATGTTTTCTTTTAAGGTCTGATGCATCGTTAATGTCTTCCTCCTGCTGGATTAAGCAGGTCATCTGCATTTTGACTGTAGACTTCTTTGAAAAGAAGTAAGGTTGCTGAGTCACTTTCACTTCTAGCCCTAAATTTCTTGCAAATTAGCAGCTTTCCGAGTGGCCTGCTGTAACCACATCTCACTTGTCTTTCCTAGAGTCTCCCCAGTGTGCCACTACTCTTAAACGTGCTCTGGACCCCTCTAGAGCTTCCGGGTCTGTGAATCCTTTCTCTCAAATTCACTGTCAGTCTTACGCCCTTCCGAGGGGGCTGTTGGCTTCTGCGGCAGAGGAAGGGCCGTGGAACTCGCCGGTTTGCGGACGGAGCCCCGGGGTTGGGTGGAGAGGCTGGAGGGCCAGGGTGGAGGGCAGGCACCCCGCGCCTGTGGCTGGAGGCGCGGAGGAGGCGGCGTGCTGCCACGGCCACCGGCAGAAACACACCCCGTGCACCTTGCTTGCTTCTGCACCCACGTGTGCTGCCGCGCTGCAAACTGGGGAAAACACACTGGTTTTCTTTCACAGGCTATTTTTCCGTTTCCTGAGTCAGTTGAAATGTGGCCTCCCAGAGTTCGGCGCAGTGCAGGTGGAAGCAGGCAGTAGAAGGAGAGGTGAAACATATTTTTCCCCGTAGAAGTTCAGTGTGTGCTGTAAACTGATGCTGTGGCTTCAGGCTGTGACTGCTCACAGCTGGCTCTGTTTCAAGGGGGATTGCCTTAGAATGTATAGTGTCATACTAAAATTGTTGGGTTGACTTGCCTGGTAATTTTTTTTTTTTTATTAAATTGTATGTGAACTTTGTTATTCCTAAAAGTGTATCTATCTAAATAGATGTGTCTGTGCGTGTGAGCACATACGTGTTCATGATCATGTGTTTTAATGTGGCCCTACCATCTTCACGTGTGCATAAGTTTCGAAGCAAAGCATTGTCCATATAAGTACATATATTTTCCAGCATTGTCATAGATAAATTTATAGTATGAGCAATTCTGCACAGTTTAAAATATATATAAGAATAATTAATACCCTACACAAATAATAAATAAAGTATTTAGTAAAATAATATTTACAATATATTAAAAAAAGGCATGCAGTTGCTAATAACTGGTTCAGCAGGCTGAGAATTTGAACTGATGTTCTGTACATCTATTGTCAGGCATTGACAGAAATGCAAGTAAATACATGTCATTGTTCTGCAAAAAAGGTGTGTTTACTTTTCTTCTGAAAGCAAATGAAATAAGGAAAACCCGAATTTGTGCTCTAACAGCAGGGTCCTTTAAGTCCTGAGCAGGCAGCCGTCACACAGCAGGAAAAGGCAAACTGAACGTTTCTTGAACCTCATGATTGCAGTTCTGTTACGTTTCTTTGCTGCCTTGCTGCCGAAGGACATCTCAGGTCTGACTGACTCTCTGCTTTAGATGTTCCATAAACACGTCCAAGCTTTTTTTAACTTCAAACCTGAAAATTTAGGATTACCTTTTCAGTATAGGATTATTTAGTGTGCAGGTACACAAATGGATGCGCGTGTGTTTGAGTTAACCATATGGTAGTTATGTAAGGAGGATGTACAAGTGGGGGCATATAAAGTATGACTGAATCTGAGAGCTGCTGTGTTTTAATCAGGTTACACCTCAAGAGAAAATCCGAAGGGGGGAATCTGAGAGGTTGAATGATTTTTTTTTTTTTTTTTAATTTATTTTAAATTTTTTCCCCACTCTTGGGAAATCTTTGTCCTCTCTGTCTACCAAGATTTTACTTGTTGTGACTTCCTTGAGTGTGGTGTTGTGTTCTTTGCTGTGGTCTGCAGCTTTGAGACCTTTGCCAGGCTTATGCCCATAAGAAAGCATCTGCGTTCTTACGCATGTTCAGGATTTCCCAACCCGGTGTCTGTGGTTCAGTGTGTGGGTGTGAATACTTGCATAACAAATGGCAAACAACTTTAGCAAATTTCTCTGTGTGGTCAGCTAGCAAACAGGAGCTGGGTATATCTAAATGGTAATTAATGTTTGACAGCTGAAATGAAAACTTTACAAAGCAATGAAAATCTTTAAATTACCACCTAATTGATTTTTTTTTTTTCTTCTTTTCGGTTGTTCACTGACTTTGAATAGGCTGCTGGGGGAGAAACTCTATTATTTGTCTTTCAATAACTTTAAATATTCTTGATGTACCAGTAGGGTAGAGGGGATAAGGAGGGCCTCTGTCTGTGGCACAGCCTTCTCTTTGGTGCCTCTTGATGACTTTCCAGTAGCCACATTGACTCTGTGCTAATCGTAGCACAGCTTAAGTAGAAAGACCAAGAAAAAATAGTAAGAAAAATATGGTAAGGAGTCTGCCATTTTTCTTTCTTCTTAACCAGATATCACTATTATTTAATTTTCCAGTGTTTGTTCTTACGTGTTTCTACTAGTAGTAATTTATTGCTTACTGTACCTTGACATGAGTCACAGGAATTCATTTTGTGGCACGGCTGCAGAAAATTTTCAGGTGTAAATCAAACTGTTCATTATATTTGTTCAGTATCTTCTTTCCCTCTCCTTTCAACCCTTCCTGTGAGGAGAGTGTGTGTGTTTGCACACGCGTGAGTGCTCGCAGGTTGCTGGAGTAGAGGCCTGTGCCAGGATATTGTGAGCGGCAGGATCAGAGTGCTGGATATTAGTTACGTAGCTTGTGTGCTCACAAGTGTGAACCTGTGTCTTATTCTTCTTTATATAATCCGACCCCTTAGATATAACCAAGCACATTAATCTCTGTCTGAATGTATGTTGCTTATATTTCAGTCTGCACCAACAACCAAAACAGAATCTGGAAAAAACACACAGCCAACCCAGGTAATTACTTCTGTTTTGCCTCTAGTGAGCTGTTGTACTGTGGTCTTTGACTAACTTTGAAAAAAGAGGCTAAACTCTTTGCTCCTACTGTGCCTCATGAAACTGCCATGTGATTAGTACAATACCTGTGTGCAAAATTGCTTGGAGCTGACCTAATGGGAATGCAGCGTCTGGGGAACAGGCAGGATGCTTCACAGCAGCTCGGAAGCGTTCTGTTAATCATCTTTACATCTCTCCCCATTTTGGCTGGGGTAGAGTTAATATTTCTTCTCAGTAGCCGGAATATTGCTGTGTTCTGCATTCAGTATGGATTTGGTATGAGAAGAATGTTGATAACACACTGACATTTTTGGTTGTTGCTGAGAAATCCAGGACTCCCCACCTCCCCACGTCCTGCCTGTGTGCGGGCGCACAGGGAGCTGGGGGGAGCACGGCCAGAGTGCCAGACCCAAATGGGGCAGTGAAATATTCCACAGCATGGAACGTCACGCTCACTGTATAGAGGAGGGGTGGCTGGGAAGGGGGGCTCTCTTTCCAGGTTTGTGGTTTGGGGATTTTCCCTCCTCAGGGATTGCTAGCTAGGAATGGGCTGGGCATTGGCCAGGGGGCGGTGAGCAGTTGTATTGTGCATTACTCATTTATAGATTCTATTATTGCTATCATTAGTATCATTATAATTTTAATTTTATTTCATTTCGGTTATTAATTTGGTTTTATCTCAACCTGCGAATCTCCTTACTTTTACCCCCCCAATTCTCTCCCCTGTACCCTGGGCTGGGGAGAGGGTGAGTCGGCGTCTGTATGGTGTTGGGCTGCCAGCCAGGTTTAAACCACAAAAGGATCTGTCTTGTGCTTATTTGAACTAGTGCAGATCATGTTCCATAGCATTATAAGGTGCTAAGGGTGAACAATCTCAATTTTTTATTTTATGACAGCCAACAGACTCTCAAAATAAACAGGCATCTGAAGAGAGGCAAAAGGAACCCAGTGGTGTAACTTATGTAATTTTTGCTTCTCTCTCTCTTTTTTTTTTTTTTTTGTTTTCTCTTAATGAGGGCTTCTTGTGGTATTTCTCTAATTTCTTCCTTTTTGTTTTTAAAAAAAATATTTAAAAATCAAACCAAACCAAGCCCACCCAGAAAGATTCTCATATCTAATAATAATGTTTATCTCTACACAGACAAAAACCCAAACCTCACCTTCTGTGACAACTTCTAGACCAAATGGTACGGGACAAGTAACTACAACTCAGGCTGACCAGCCTCCACAAACAACCTGCACAGATACACCAAAGGTACTGTAGAAGTAGCGATCCAATTTTTATTATTTGAGTTATTGTAGGGGTTAGAAATTCACATCAAGATGGATTTGTATGCTGAGTATTGTAAAGTGAGACTGGGCCTCCGGAAATCATAATGTAGAAAAGTTTACAGGTGTGTATGACAAACCTCCTTGTGCTGCTCTAAAATCTGGGACTTGGAAACTTAGCACTGTACCCACTAATTAATTTAACAACATCCCGAATATAACCACTTCCAGCTAGCCCATGACAGCATTAATAGATAAGCATCAGCTGCAGATAGAGATGCCTGGCCAGATGGTACTGGTAGTTGGTGCTGGTTGTTTGGTGACCCTGACGTGCATCCACCTTTTGTTGTCCTCTGCATACATCTTTTCTCATCGTCCAACACACTCTGGCTGTTAGCCAAGCAAGCAACATTAAGATTATCGTAATTAGCCAGTTGCTGAGTCCAAAAAAATATGTGCAGCCTCAGAGTTGGATATTTTAGGCTGGGCTCAGTATCGTGCAAGCTGCACCTGCTCACTCAGCCACTAGGTAGAACCAGCTTGTCATTTTTATTCAAAGTGTAGCTGAAGGGGGACAAGATATTCATGCTTGGGTCGAACAATTCTTTTGTAATCTGTTTCACCTCTAGAATTTTTAACGTAGGGTCATGTAATAAAGCCATCTCATAATTTTTATCTTATTTCTCCAGCCTAAGTCTGAGAAGATGTCCATGGTAGCTGATGCAGGTGCAGCTGGTGTAGGTGTGGCTGCTGCAGCTGAGAAGTCAAGTACTGAGGTTGGTAAACACAGTCCCAGTCAAATGCTTCCCTTGTAAAAATGTCTCGGACAGTGTTTCTCTCTAAAACACTTCAGGTTCAGGAAAAATAAATTGGTAAAACTCCTCAGGTATTGCCACGTAGTAGTTTTGTATGGTGGTGAGGGACTACCTGAAAGAATAGCCAACGAACTAGTGACATCTCCTTTGTGTTTTGTCAAATAGGATTCGTTTAGAATCAATTTTACCACAACTAGCATAAAATTAATTACTCTTTATCTTCAGATATGTTTGTGTATGTATGCATGTATATCAGCTGGTACATAAATCCAAATGATCTTGTTACTGACACTGGGAAACGAGCTTAAGAACAGCTCTTACTGAAGTGCTGGACCTACTTGGTCCTTCCTTGGAAGCTTTTGGCTTGGTTTTCGGGAGTTTTCTACAGATTCAGCAGATGATGAATTTTTTTTTTTCCTTTGTACAGCATGGTAACTTCTATAATGCTCTGCTTCATTTTTAGCCTAGTATGGATGAGTCGGCACTTGATAGCCTAATAGATACCCTTGGTGGACCTGAAGAAGATGTGCCTACAAGCCCTGTTTACACTGGTCCGGAAGTTACGGTACTTTACATTTTTAATTTTTACAAGATTCAGCTCAAAAATATATCTGTAGTTGCTCACTACTACATTGATCCACTATTTCTGTCTGATCTGCTAAGAGGTAAAATGCAGAGTTGCATTTTAGTGTTGTTTTCAGTAATACAGAAATGATACAGTTAGGTATATATTGCAGTTGAAGTTGTCAACCAAGAAAGTTTGTGGCTGTTTGAACTGACTTCGGAGCTGGGTCTCCAATCGATTTAGAAAAGATAGCGATGGAGGTATAAGAGAGAGCAAACAACCTAGGAGATTTCATTTCTACTTGGGAAAGAGTAAAACAGAGAATTTGGGGAAGAATGCATTCTTTTCTGAGTTAGAATGGGAGAGTAACATTAGAAGGATTAAGATTACAGGCTCAGTGGCTCAGCCGTGATAAAAATTTTGTAATTTATAAATATTTAATATTCAATCTAGGTTCAGCCATACATTCTGTGGTGTGAGACACTGACGTGGTTTCTGTTAGCGCAGGAGGAGTCTGGCAATGGAGATGCAGAGTTTTGCTAGATGAGGTGCACTGCTGAAGCTAGTGGAGATGCATGTGGATGACTGTCCTGGGTTGAGTGAGTGGTGGAGTTTTTTGGTGGCAGGGGAGGGGGCTATCGGGGCGGCCCCCTGTGAGAAGCTTCTCGAAGCTCCCCCAGCTCCACGTCAGCTCCACTTCTGTTTGGGAAATTGAGCCCATCGGCTGCACCTCTGCGATAACGTATTTAAGAAGGGACGTGGTGACAGGCAGGGGGACTGGTGAGGAGGAGTCACTGCAGCTGCATGAACACCAAGGTCAGTGGAGGAACGGAGGAAGAAAGGAGGGGGGAGGTGTGCCGGAGCAGAGACCCCCCTGTATCCTGTGGGGAGATGTCAGGGCGGCCCCCCCCTGCCACCCATGGAGATCTACGGTGGAGCAGACATTGATTTATGGCCTGTTGCTCCTGCTCAGTTGATCAAGGTTCTGTGCCCGAAGAAGGCCGGGGTCTCATGGGAAAAGGCAGCCCCGCTGCTGTAATTCAGCGCTGGGAGGATTGCAGCATGCGGGGGAGTCCCACACCGGAGCAGCTCGGGAAGGGCTGCAGCCGTGGGAGGGAATCCAGTCGGAGGAAGTTAGTGACCCATGACGGAGCAGTGTGGGGAACGCTGCGGCCCGTGGGAGGAATTCAAGTCGGAGAAAGTTTGTGGAGGACTGTCTCCTGTGAGAGGGGGACCACGATGGAGCAGGAGGAACAAGTTCCGGACACTCCCCTCACCGAAGATGAAGGAAGTGGCAGCGCTGCCTGCACCCCCCATTCCCTGCCCCTGCGCCACTGGGGGAGGAGGAAGAGATATCGGGAGCAGAGCTGAGCCCGGGAAGAAGGGAGGGGTGGGGGGAAGGTGTGCTCAAGATGTGGCAATGCTTCTCACTGTCCTACTCTGTTATGTGTTGTTAGTGTCTGTAATAAATGTATGTTCTTTTTTTTCTTCCCCTAACAAGTCTGCTTTTTGCTCGTGATCATAAAGGGGGATTTTTCCCCATCCCAGTCCTATCTCGAACCCCAAGCCTGGCTCTCTGTCCCTTCTCATTGCCGGAGGGGAAGGGAGAGAGGGAGCTTCTGCATTGTGGTTGGATGCCAACCAGGCCCAAACCACAACAATGACACTGGGTTCTGAAAGACACTCTGTAGCCACAGTCCAGGATTGACCCTCTGACCAAGCCAACCTGCACATTTTCCTTACAGAAGTATTGCTGTAGTCAGCTCTACGTTACAAATTTTATTTTAGTAAACAAGCATACAAAAATATTAACATGTGCATTCTTTTTATAGGAAGATATATCTTCAAGATACTTGGAAGAAATGGGTAAACGGGAAGGTAGTCTTCCTCCAGAGTATGTTAAATTGTTGAAGGTTAGTGAGTTTAAACCAAAAATTCATGTGTGTTTTCTTTCATATTGTATGTTTTTGCTTCCCATTTACTACAAAATTTATTCTCATTTTAGGGCAAAGGGGATTACAAAGATGGAGTCCCACCAAAAGTAGATGAACGAGATGAAGTAAGACTTTTTTTTTTTTTTTTTCTATATTGGAAGGTGAATATAATTCAATTATCATTGGATTCCTAGGAAAATTTAAATGTTTCCTGTCTTCCAAAAATCCCAGGAAGTGGGAGAGGGCTGTGGGGTACCTGATAACATAGATACTGATAAAGCTGCGTAGAACTTGGCACAGATGTTTTTAATAAAGAAGTAGGAATTTTCAGGACACTGAAGCTGGAACAAGTCAAATAAATGCTCATAGCAGTATTGGGCATAATAATAACAAAGGGAAGAAGTAGTAAGTGAGTATGCAGGAGTCTCTTTGTCACGTCTTTAGCAAAGTTTTATTTAATTTCTGTATTTAGCAAGAAAATTCTGTAAACCAGCTTAATTTTGCTGTTTATAAGTTTAACATACAGGAATAAAAGCTTACTGAAAAAGGAATCAGCCAGTGCAGGGAGATATCTTTGGTTTTTCTGTGACACCAACGTGTTCTTATGAGGTCACTGTGTGAGTAAACGTGGAGCACACTCAGATTTTAACCCAAGTTTGACATCGTTGAACTTTAATAATTATAACCTAGTTTGCAATTTCTTGCTCAGAAGCCAATGACAGATGATGAGCTTGCAGAGGCCCTGTCATCTGACTTTACCTGTAGTACTGCTTCTGCTGAAGAAAAGAAGACAAGTCTGACAAAGGTAGTGATATTTTTCTTGCCATTGCATGTCTTTATTTCAATGAAACATGGCCATTATTAATATTTCACTTGAAAATTATCTTGACAATTTTCCCCTTTTTATTTTTGCAAATTTGCCTGTCATTTTTTCTCTCTCATAGGATGCAAGTAAGGAAGGAGAAATCGTGCAAGCACAAGCTGCAAGTTCAGTCAAGACCTCAGTTCCTCCTAAGGAGAAGAAAAAATCAAAAGAGGTATAAATAGTCGCTCTTTGATTAGTTAACTTCTAATTCAAATTTACAAGCACATGTCATATTTTATGTGTGTCTGGTCTTGTAAAGATGCTCATCATTCTCATTTGCAGATGTAAATCCTGTTTATCATAGAAAATACAGCAGTAATAGGAGTTGCCATTGCTCAGACTCTACTGTAGGTTAAAGATCTGGCCTTAGTGGGTCAGATGATTTTTCCTTCTGCATTTTTCTGCAGAATAACTGCGGTTCTTCTGACCAGGGGCAATAGAGGAGAAAAATGTATGTGTTTTCTTAGCTATGTGAGGTGTGTTTAAAACTTGGGTATGAAGTAATTCTCATGTTTTACAAACCTTTCTTTCTTTCGCTGTAGAGAGGAAGTGTGGCCTTACACTTCCTGGGTTTGCCACTTCAAAGTATATGGCAATTGTGTTATGTGATACTGTGCCCTTTTTTTGCTTACATTTTTTTTTTTTTTCCTCTTTTCCCCTCTCCATAAGAGGAGATATGTTTTGATTAGATTGTGCTAATCTTATCACATAATTTTACCATATCCTGCCATGTGATATTAAGGAAATCGGGTAAAGCCAGGCAGAAGTGACCAGTCTGGTGCTGACTGCTTCATGTACAACATAAAATGTATATAAGGTAAAACATGTATCAGCTTAAACAAATAATTAAATGATTTGCATATTTTCTTAAATTTAGGAAATTAAAGAGGATGCAGTGGAAGCTCTTCTTGATACTCTTGGTGGACCTGAACCTGAACCTGAAGAAGATCTTACCCCTGTTGTAGAGGTGTCAGAGGTATAATCTTACTCCTTTTTTCCTCAGTTTTCAGACTCTCCCGTGGAATCTCGAGTCCTCTTTGTTAGATACTGTACCAGGGTGTAAAGTAATAACAAAGCGACTTCATATCAGAGGCCTAAGGAATGTCTGAGGCTTATGTGATTAAGAAAATGAAGAAATCACGAGTGGATATAGGTAGAATGGAATATAGTAAGATGGCCCGGAAATAGATAAACATTTAATTTGGCTATCCAAGCACATATAAATACACCTTCCCCTGTGGTCCCCAAACACTGGGTATAATTTATAGCAAACTTTTATTTGCACATATTTGCTGTTTGTCTTTGAATTAGTGTTTCAGGGTTTTAATGCCAGTACTTTTTCCATCAGAGCCCGTTATCTTTCTGATTTGGGTATTGCCTTTCACTGTGTCTTCTCAGACTTTTGTTTTTCTTCAACAGTTAGGTTTGAACAGTAGTCCTGTGTGGGCATATTGAATTTTGACTTTTTTGTTTAGTTTTGCAAACTCTGCCTATAATCCCAATAATATCAGTTATTTTCTCCTGTCGTCACTTACAGCTCAGAGCTAACAAATGACAGGGAAGTAGTGGAAAGTCATTTGTTGCCAGGAGAAGATGTTGGGGCTCAGTGTTGACAAAAAGGTGCATGTTGTATTGCAGCTTCAGTCAGTCTGGGCCTCCAGATAACTTACTCGATGCATTGGTTCATGAGGGAGGTCCAGAGCATTAAAAACCGTGTTTAAGTAGCAGTGATGGAAAAAGATAAAGAATTACAGCTGGTGTAATCAGAGTGATGAAATCCAAGGACACCTGAGGATTTTGTACAGCCCAGAGATTCTAAAAGTACCTGCCACAAAGTTACGGCTCTGAATAGTGCCTGAAGTTTTTCAGAATTTAAAATAAGATAGCCATATTCACATATGACATTGATTCTTAAAGTATAATGATTCTACCACAGGCATTTGATAGGAATAAATTGAAGAATTTTAGTATCTTGATATATAGAATAATTTAATCTGATGCTAGTACTTCTTCAAACAGCAGGCCGAAGAATCTTGATAGTGAATTTGAGAGTACTTTGAGTGTTTATTTTAATTTCTTGAAGTATTTGGGTTTTTTTTCTTTCTTTCAAGGCAAAAGCTAAAGAGAAAAAAGAACAAAAGGCTGGAGAACGTGATGATACGATACCTCCAGAATACAGGCTAACACCAGAGTTGGTAAGTTTTTCATATCTGCATTGCTTTGTAAATAGAGCACTGAGTCTGACGCTTTCTCCTCACAGAGAAGGGAAGAGCATGGGGAAAACAAGCAAAACTAGTATTTAATCAACAGCTCTCTCCTGTTGGTGATTCCTTTCTTTCCTTTGTGAGCACGACTGAGTTTTTCAGGGATTCTGAGCAAAGATCTGATCTTCCCAGATCACACATTCCTTCTCCATGAGTGGTGTTACTTGTTTCTGATACTAAACCTCAGTGCTGTAAAATCCGTCCCTGAACAGGAGTGATCTTGGGTATCACTTTGTAATGTAACCTTGAAACACTGTTGTAAAACGGTATGAAAATTACACTCCATACTTTAGATTGTCACTTCAAGTGACGGAGATTTGTTCGAGGTCAAGCAAAACAGCAATAGAACTGAGATGTGTTTTCCATAAAGTTCAGAACAGAAAGTTTCATAACTGATGTTACCAAGGTTGCTGTATAAACTGGCCTAGCTGGAGCTGAATGTTAACATTCTGTTTTGAAAGTAGCAGTTTTTACCCCTCTCTTTAGAGATTTCAAGGCTGCATGACTACAGACCTGGGATTTAACCCCCTGTTTGTTCAAGTTGCACTCAAAGCTTGTTTTCCTGCTGGGTGAATTCCTGCTCGTTTAATACAGAATTCATTCCCGCTGCCTACTGATACTGACATGAATGAACACTTTTTGGCCTCTTGGCCCATTTGTATTGTGCTGACGTCACGTTTGCTTTTCTAATCCACTTACCTGGCCATATAAGAATTCCCCTTTTAGCAGAATTCCTGTTACTGTGTCAATGACTTCATCTTGTGTGTATCATTTATTTTATATATTTTGTTGGTGATTATGGAGTAACAAACAGAAAATGTCAATAACACTTACTTTAATTTTAGGATAAAGATGGAAAACCAGTATTGCCGAAGCCTGAAGAAAAACCTAAGGTTAGAAAACTGACAATATTATAAGAGTGTGAATAGATACCCTGTTTTCTTCCTCCCTGTCATCACTTCTGTCTGTGCCATTATGTAAGTCTATTGGTCTGCTTATGTGCTTATTTTCTTGCACAAAACCTGCTGAAGTGACAAGTGAAAGTCAGTTTTATTGAAATTCACTGGGTGTGAATGAAGAGCTCACAGTAAGAGAAAGGTTTACAGATTACTAAAATAGGAGAGAGTTATAGAAATGACTGCTGACACAAACAAAAGCTGTATGGGGTGTTCTGCAAAAGTCTGCTGGAGCCGTTGAAGGACAGAGAGAGGCAAGGCAGGAAAATCTTTTGTTTTCATGACAGTTTCCTCTCGTTAGTCATCTAATATAAAGGAACATGGCTGGAAAGAAGGAAAAAGCTGCTGTGGACATTTTCCTAATCACAAAGGTCAACTTGGACTTTGCGAAAAGTATCCATCATGGCCTAGAAAGTGCAAGATAGAATGAAGAAAGCAGCTCTACTCTGGGGGAACCAGGCATTAGTGTTAGAAGACAAGCCTTCTGATTTCAGAGGGAACACAAAAGGAATGGCACACACACAAAAAAAAATAAAAGCTCCAGAAGAAGAGCGAGACATGAGTTAAGGGAGGCTGGTTCATAGTTTGACTAAAGTCCAGTGCAAAGCCAAAGCAGAAGATGAGCTCAGAATCATGAGGTGTTATGCCAGAAGAAGTAAGTGGTTAGCAGAAGAATAAGTATTCCTGTGCTTTTCCACCACTATCAATCAGAGACCCAACTATAATTGAATAATTGTTCTGTAAGTGAACCACACGGGTATCGAAGTCATGTGTTGCAGTATTTTTCTCAGCACTGCTCCACTATTTATAATTTGAAGAAGGCGATTTTGGGCGAGATGTGTTTGCCAGCATTCCTGTGGTATCACTGGTAATTTAGATCTGTGAAACCAAAACCAGGAAAAGGAAAACGTTATGTCAATAGCCAAAAAACCTTAAATCACTTACAGGTCGTTAGTGATTCCTGGTGAATGCAAAGTTGTCCTTCCTTCATCACTTCAGTTAGGGCTTCTATTCTTCCGGGCCTCCACTCTGCAGACCCTTAAGCGCATGCAGTGGGATTAGTTTTGTGAAAAAAGTTGTTACTGCCTAAATGCTTTTTTGATTCAGCGGTTCAGAGAGGAATTCAGACATTATGAGAAGTGGGGCCTTATGTGATGAGACATTTTATAAACACTTAGGGGCTCTGGTCGATGAAGGAAGGTGGGAGGGAAAATAAGAGACTCTCCTTTAGAAGTGTCATTTTGCATATTACGAATTTGGCCAAATGAGCTGTAACGTAGCAAGTGAGTGGTGATCCCTACTAGCAAAGATTCAAACATTTAGATGTAAACAGTGGTTCAAAGGATCCCGGGAGCATTAGTGATAGACCACAGAAGTATGCAGATCACATAGTACTAGATCACATAGTATCAACAGACTGTAATAGATCACACAGTAGGGAACTAAAACTGCAACATATTCACTTTTCCCTAAAACGTGCGCAGTGAAAGCCATGGCATGTCAGCGGTCAGTGTGCAAGCTGAGAGAACTCCCAGGTGACATCACCCCTGAGAGAGCTCTACTTCTGCTGGAAGAAAAAAAAAACAAAAACAAAACAAAACAAAACAAAAAACAACCCCAAACCCTAAAAAGTGAAATGGGAGAATTATAATCTGATGGTGCTGTTTTTCATTACCTATATGTGATTTGTACTTGAAGTATTATAACAACGTGATGCTGTTACAGTGAATACTATCTAATAAATATTAGCATTCTTTTTTTTTTCTAATTAAGAGGTTGTATTTTCCTTTTCAGTACCCTTGTAAACAGTATTGAACATAATGTTCTCTACATGATATTGACTTTTGATAGCAAAGCAACTGACTCATTCTGAAAAGTGTTTTTCTTAATGTTACGTGCTACGAAATTCATGTTGTTGTGTTGCATGTAAATGTGAAAGGTTATTTCGGTGAAGGCTACAAAAGTTTTCCTGCTTTCTGAGTAGCTGAAATACAATTCTCGAAAAAATAAATTAAAAACAGGCTGTGAGTCACCTGTACAACATATGTCTTTTTTACAGCCTTTGAGTGAATCTGATCTTGTTGATGAATTCTCGAAAGACTTTGCCTGCCCTGCGCAGCCTGCAGTACAGTCCAAACCATCGAAGCCCAGCAGCACACCCAAAGTATGTCTTTCCAGTTCACTGAAGATGCTGACACTGATAGTTTTGCTAAGACTGGATAATGCCACTGTTCTTTCAAGAAAAATATTTTCTTCTGCTTCTGTTTCCCCCCTCTCCCCCCCGTTACCTTGAGTGGAGCATGAAGTACTGGAACTTGGTTGTTAGTTGAGGGGCTTCTACCTTTAAATTTAAACTTGTCTTTCTTTTTTTTGTACTGTATTAAAAAAAAAAAAAAAAAAAAAAAAACACACAAAAAAAAAAACCAAAGCAAACAAAAAAAAAAACCAAAACCACTTAATAGGTACATTTTTGGTTCCTGAGCATATTCAGTAAAATGCAGTGTAATCGTTCTGTTTCAGAAGCCTTCAGATCCTGTGTCTGCAAAAACTACTGAGGACGAAGTAGTCCCTCGTGCCACAGCTTGCACGGTGCAGTCTTCAGCTCCGTCATCTGTGTCTTCAGTGAGTGGTCTCAGCTGGGGCTAAAGCAAAACTCAGCGCTTCATTTAGGCAGTGGTGTAGCATCTTGTCAGGATGCTTATTTCAGTATTGTGTAGTCTCCCTCCGTAGAGGTACGCCACAAAGTCTGAGTGCTTTCCAAAAAATTCCAGGGAGGCACAAACTGAATGGGAGAGGTCAGTGACCTTCTTACTAAAGGAAGTCAAACGGACAGTTCATGTTGCCTGCTCTGTCTCTTACTGCTCTGAAAAGGGACGCTGTTTGTGAACTCAGTAGATACTGCAGGGAAAGACAAATTCTGCCAAGAAATCATAGTTGTCCTACGGAATGTTTCAGAAGATTGCATTAAGGGCTGACATTCTTGCATCTCTTCTCAGAACACACATGCTTCTATAAAAAAACAAAACAACCAGCCAACCCCCCCTGTGGAACACTTTAGCTGTCAGTGAGCCTTTGGAAAGGAGAAGCCTGTTTACAGAGCAGCCTCTGTCAGAGTTGCCTTATGCCTCGAACTCAGCAGATCCAGAGCATGTGTCAACAAATAGGGAGAGAAGCATTACAGTTTTTAAGTTTACTTCTCAATTTTTAACTGAAGTAACGTGTGGCTGGCAGTGGTAGGATATGGACAGGTTTCTTCAGTTGCGTCTGTTCTTCAAACTAAGGATTGCTTTTTACTGTACTGGCACCCTTGCAGGTTGTTCACGTGGCAGATGAAGCGCTGGAAGCCTTGTCCAGTAGCCTTGGAAAGAGGGAGCCTGATCCAGACGAGAAGAAACCTGCTGTGGACAAAGTCAAGGTAGAGAAACAATCAGACCTCCAGGCTTAGAGTGTGGTTGTGATTGTCCTCAGCGTTACTGTATTTGCTCAGGCTAGGAAGAATTTAGAGATCATATCTTCACTTTTTTCTAAAAAACAAATTTACCTCTGTAACCACTTGTGTTCCGCTTAGGAAGTCCTAGTAGGATTTTAACACACTGAGTTAAACACGCTTTTCTTAATAGTTTTGCCTATGACAGCACAGTAGTTTCCTCAACATCTAAAAAAATGCATTTGCTTGTCTCACTACTGAACCAAAGTAGAATTAACACATACATCAGAGGTAGCATACAGTATAATCCTTCTTCAAAAGGATGCAATTTTATGATGAGTTGTTTAAATTCGGGATGATGCATAAAATTTGGGGTTTTGTCACTGATCTTGTGTCATGGTTTAAACCCGGCCGGCAGCCAAACAGCAGGCAGCTGCTTGCTCACCCTCCCCCACACCACGGGGAGGTTTTTATCTGGTAGTTGGATTGAGTCAGGGAGACTCATTTGAATCAGTAGACTGGAGGCTTTGAAAGAGTGCTCATATGCATTTCTGTTGGGATGTAGTTATTTGGTTTTCTTGATTTTATTTTTATTTTGCCTTCACAGGAAAAAAACAAACAGGAGCAACGCAAAAAACTGGGTGAAGACGAAGAAACAATTCCTCCAGAGTACAGATTAACAGAAGCAAAAGTAACGTCTTTCATGTGCTGTCCTAGTCTTGCTTTCCTGTCATTCCTCAGAATATGTGAATGACACCGAAACTCCACTTTGTTTTGAAGTGTTGATGTTTAGTTCAGCCATTTTTTATAGTATATAGAAATTGCAGTTCGTAGTCCCTGAACATCTGACATCTGTCATTAGATGCCTGCATAGGCACAGAGGTAGTTTAGGTACAGGTACCTACACATGAATAATTTGGACTGAGATCGGTGCACTGGCGTCTTCCACTAGCGTTTTGCATTTTATAACCTAATAAATTGTGATTGGCCAAAGCTGTTAGAAAACCCAGCTCTTCGAGGTGGTGTTTTCACGCAGCTCCCCCACACGACTCTTCGGACAAAAACAGGTTGCTCAGGCACAGCCAGGGCCTGCACAGCACCCGCTGCAGCTGCCGGCGTGAAAGGTGTTCTGGGCCCTGCACCCAGGAATAATCTGTTACCAGTCGGGGAGTTGGGATTTTCTTTATTACTTGTTCTGTCTCCATGGAAATTGAAACACGAAGTAGGGGAGCTCAGAATCTCACGCACTGAACCACTTCTCAGCACTCCGATGTTTTTCAGTTACCGGATTTTTTCAGTGACACCTGGAGTGAGAGTGGTAGATGCTAGAGGTGACTAGTTAGATCGTTTCCTTGTGTCATACTCCCTGTCGTTTAAGGACTGCTTGGTTTAATATAAGGGGATTTTTCTTTTGTAGGATAAAGATGGAAAACCGCTCTTAGCAAAACCGGAAGAAAAGGCCCAGGTAAATAAGCGACTTCTCAGATAAATGTTTAACTCATTAGTTACTTTCCCAAATGTCAATAAAGTTTCCCAGTCTTCAGTTTAAAAATGGAAATGGACTATGTTACCTGCTCACTTTTTAATAGATGAAAAGGCTTAAAAGCCTCTTTTTTTTTTTTTCTTTTTAATGATAGCCTATGAGTGAAAATGATCTTTTAGAGGGTTTGACAGAAGGATTTTCCTATTCTCCATCACCATCTGCACCATTACCTACACCAACTGTAATAAAGGTGAGTATATTTTACTTCGGAAAACCTGTTTTATTTTGAAATTCTTTCAATAATCTTGATAATTTATTTGTTTTCCTTAAAGTTTATGTAAACTTTCCTAAATAAAATTCAGTAACTAAAAATCTAAAATGTTATTTGCAATAAATTAATAGGAGAGCAGGACTTTAATAATAATAATAATAAAAACCCCCTAGTTATGTTAATTGTTGTATCTTTTTACCAGTTGCTTGCATAAGTAGTGCTTTACAGGTGAGAATTTTAAAATTTGTTACTTGGGAATATAGATGGGCTTGGTGAAATCTTAGCTCCTCTGAAGTCACCTTAAACCTGCCTCTGACTTGTCTAGGCTTAACGCAGGAGTTCAGATGGAAGAGTGAACGTGAGCAATCCGAGACGCAAAAGCGTCGCACGGTGCTTCTCGGGAAGGGGTTTCCATCCGAGACAAGTAGAGCTTCGAGGAAAAACAAAGTCCTAGAAACGGGGTGCGCGGGCGTTGCACTTGAGACGCGTGGAATCTGCAGCGTGTTTTTCTCTGAGTCCTGGTAATCGTGCTGTGCTTTGTTCCAGAGGACCAAGGAGAGGGAAGAGCCCGCGGGCTGCTCGGCCGTGGTCTCTGCAGTGCACTCAGCAGCTCCTCCAGCTTCTACCTCCGTAAGCGACCCCTCCTGCAGATCCTTGCCCCAAACCAAGTAGTGAGGAGGGGTGGGAGCATGGGCTGGCCACTTTTACCAGGGTAGACTGTCGGAGAGTTAGATAATTTATTGCTAGTACTGGCTGTTGGGGGGAAAGAAAAAGTTCCCTCTGGGGAAAAAAAAAAAAAAAACAAAACAAAACAACAAAATGTGTGAATTTCTGGACAGTTCGTGTTGAACCACTGGTGAAGGCTGGCCTGCCCGTTCTGTCCGAGTTCTGCTCACTGCTGTCCTCCAGCCTGTGAAACCTCCCTGGCAGGAGGAGTGCCCAGCCCCGCGCTGGCTCCTGCCCGGTTACAGGGGACATTCTTAGGCGCCGGCCTTCAGCGCAAACACACCTTTCCTTCCCTGGCTAGGTAGGGAGAACATTTAAAATAATGATAGCGTGTTCGAGGCCGTAGCAGCAAAGTGGTGCATTAAGCCTGTGAAAGGAGGAGGTCAGGGTTAATGGCAGGGCAGGCAGAGGTGACCCCCTTCGAACAGCAGCAGGACTTTGGCTGCGCCTGGCGGTGGTGTTGGCTGGGGGGGGTGTGGGGTGTGTGTTCTCCACCTGGATCCGTGCGCCGGGAGCTCCATCTAGTGTTGCCAGCCCAGTTTGGAAGGGCACCACAGAGCTGCTCCAAACTGGGTTTTCAGTTGGTTTTAAGGGCCTTTTTTCTAACCAGTGTTTGAGTGAAACCGGTGTGAATTAGCAGAAGACGATACGTACTGTGAAGATAAAAATGTTAATACGTTTTAATTCAGATTGACACTTCCTCGGCAGCTGATCTGCAGGGGTAATGATGTTTGCAAAATGAATGGCAATTACCAAAAAACCAGTCTTTTCATAGAACTGTTCTCATAAGATCTGTTAGGCTTATGTCTAACAAAAGAAATCCATTAAATAAATTCCATAACCCCTTCTTGAAATTGTGTTTTCTGTAGGTCTAGACATTCTGTAGTTTCTTCCCCGGCTATTCCACCACATTATAATTACAAAGGGAGAGCTGATTGTTCATTCTTCACTGAAGCTGACAGTTCATTAGTCATTACTTATATTAGCTTGATGAATTAAATTATTTTTACAGCTTTTTATTGCTTTCACAAATGTGTTTATACTTTGTTAGGGAGGAAAAGAGATGGCTGAAGCCTTGGATCTCCTGTCTGATTCCTTGGGACAGAGGGAACCTGACCCTGATGAGAACAAACCGGTTGTGGATAAAGTAAAGGTAAACAAAAAACATTCTGAGAATTGTGCAGCCTAGGGAAAAAAAAATAAACCCAAGAAAAAACTTCCAAAATCCGAGATACTTACCTTACTTCTTCAAGACTGTAATTTCTTTTTTTAAATGGCATACTGCAGTACTTCCTATATACTCATAGGAGTATATGCCATGCTACTGTTAGACGTAGGAATAAGGTAACTGGAAAAAAAAAAAAAAACAAACATGCTCTTACGTTGTCCCACACAGTCATACCAGCCACTCTTCATCAGCTGGTTTACTTTGTGCATTTTGTGAAAAAATGTTGCATTAGTTAATATACTTTAGCCACTTGGAGGTAGGCATTGAAATGTTACAGGAAATTTGCAATAATTCTATTTCAGTGCCTTTTATTGTCATCATTCTAAGTATTTTTCAAGTGTCTTCTCTGGCCTCTGTTTCTGAAAGTAATTTTGTGGCTGCCTTTGTGTCGAACTTTGGCTTTTATAACCCCACAAACCCCAAGTTCATCAACGGACATCTTCGCTTAATCAGCCCCGTTTTTCAGCTTGCCTGTGTCTGCTTGTTTCGTCTTCATTCCGTCTTTCTTCATGTGATTCTCTAAAGACCTTTCTGCTAGTAAGAAAATCAGATGGATTTCTGCATAATGGCAGCGGTAATAATAAATTGCAAACTGAAATACTCCAGGTAGAGGGCATTAGTGGGGGAAGAAAACACCAGAAGGTGCCGGTGGATAAATTTAGGCTGGCGTCTAGAAGGGGATTTCTCCCCTCAGACCAGGCTCCAGTGCGGGGGGTGCTGGTTGCCAGTCTGGGTACGGATGTCCCTTACCATGGCAAGGGAGGGAACGCTTGATGTGCGAGATCTCGGCAGCTCCTCTGCCTCGGGAGCCCAGCTGTCTTCATGTGTTGGTGTGGAAAATGCTTATATTCAAAAAATACAAAAAAAAAAAAAAACCCCAAACCCTAAAAAAATTAAAAAAAAATAAGAGATTTGTAAAATGTTTGCGTTGACAAACACAAGAACGTTCTTCAACAGTATGCAGAAACCCACTTGGATCTCAAGCAGGCGCTTTGTTTGGCATGTTTCTGGTCTGTGGGCCAGAACTGAAGGCGGGATAACCTGAAGAATAAACGTGGTGTCCGGAACGCTCCCCTCCTGGGTGCGATTTTGGGGAGCGTGTGGAGCTCTGCCGTCTGGTTGCGTTGGGTTTGAGACCGACCCGGGCTCCCAAGGCCACTCCCGACCAGCCTGGGTGAGGGGCGGGTGATGCCCTGGGTTCTGCTGGGGGTGCTGGTGCTCACGGTGGGGGGGGGAAGGCCCTGCAGGAGCATCGCCCTTGTGCTGAAGAGGCACGGGCGGGATTCGCTGCAGAAACGTTCAGTGGCTCCTCCTGCTGCCAAAAAGCAGCACTGAGAATTGACATTCTATGTTGGGGTGCATCTGGGTGTGCATACGTTTAACCTAAATTCAAAAAACGCACCTGTCCTAAGTTTAATGAGCACTCTGGCTTACTCTTGGCTAATATTTCTGAAGCAAGTATTGAAGTTGTTAAAAAATTGAATGCTTTCAGGAAAAGGCGAAGTCTGAACACAGAGACAAACTTGGAGAAAGAGATGATACTATCCCACCCGACTATCAAAAACTTCTGGAGTCAGGTGAGCAGGTAAGGAAAAGTTTTGTTTGTTTTTATTTGCAACCACCAGAAATTTCTACATATGAGCCAGCCTGCCCTCTTTGGAATTACAGGGAGAACAGGAAAGCTGCATAAGTGAGTACATGTGTGTGTACTGTACTTGTGTATTAGGATCAGACACGTAAATATCCTATACTTAGAGTAGCCTGGTGTATCCTTCCATGCATTTAAATCAGAAAAAAACCCCAAACAAATACCGAGTTTTGTTTTGTTTTTTAGTTGGGCAACCTGAACAAATCAATCACTTTGAAGCACCTGGTAGCAATCAGCATCCTGGAGATTTAGCAGTATAGATTCCAGTTAACACTGCCTGAGCTCAGTGTTTCAGGTGCTCCAGAAATCCAGGTGAAAAAATAGAGTGTCTCCTTTTAAACAGCTTGGCTTTATAGCCTGCCTTAAAACAGGAGATACTTGCCAACTGTGGGTAATAATGCTTATTTATTCCCAGTAGTTTCGTTCCAAGTTTGGGGACAAAGTGTGTATACGAGCCCAAAGCCCTGTAAAACCTCCGTTCACTGGAGCATGTGACTGCTCTGACAGTGGTTTGAACTTTCGTGGATCAGGAAGCTGTTTTTCCAGTAGCCTACAAGCATAGAAAGGTGATATCACAGACATAATCAAAGTAACAGGCCGTGAGAACACATCGTGACCTGGCTTCGAATACATAGCACGAGAAAGAAAATAAATCAGTTCAGAACAGTGCAACTTCCCTGGCAATCTGTAAACACTCCCAATGTCATACGTAAGTACTTCTACCTGAAAAAATAATCTGACCAGTCCGACACGAGGACGTAATCTTTCTTCTTCCCAAGGGTAAACCAGTGAAACCAACAGCAAAGGATGATGTGAAACGCAAAGAAGAAAAGGTATCAGTTATGCTATTTCTGTTCTGTGTTTTTTTCCGTGATGCGGGCTCTGGTAATTTTTTTTGAAGTAGTGTCATTGTGCCTCAAGGTGTGATGTCATTGCAAATTCTCATAATTTACTTTCGAGTAAGCAGTAGGTAATAGTAACAGTGTGGGCAGTAAAACTTATGTGAAGAGTAACTCTTCACAATAAATAACAGTTTTTATGCACAGCTACGCAGTGAATGTTCAGGTGCACTATTCAAAGAAATTGCGTGTCTTGGAAACCTCCGGCAGATATCTCTGTTCTAACATATGTATAGAGTTCAGATATGTGTGGGTTTTTAAGAAAGGGCTAATTCAGGAATTTATGTCTGCTTTAAATATTAATTCGACTGTGGGAAGTATTGCAAAAGGTGTGACTTCCCAATTAAAATTCTTGCAGAAGCCCGCGGATGACTCTGCAGCTATTGATGCGCTGTCAGGTGACTTTGATACTTGTGCAAAGGCTCCTGCCACACCACAGCACTCAAAGGTAGGACATTTTCTGCTAATAACTTGCAAAATAAACAGTTTTCCACCACTCTCCGAAAGCTCCTTCCTTTTATTTGCAGTAGCTCAGTTTAGGTTTAGAGCTAGCCTCTTTGGAAGATGCTGTCCAGAGGTAGTGATTGTCTTAGTGCTGTAATGGAAGGCTGATGCATCTTGCTGTGTACTAAATATTTGGAAGAAGGAAGGTTTGTGGTATTTAGAGTCTTTTAGAGAGGTAAGACAGGCTTGGAGAAGTAAGTTGGACAGGGAATTGTGGTAACAGTTTTTGTACAGATTAGAGTGTCCAAAAAATGTAGAGGGGCAGAGAAATCTTTCGTCGATGATTGCACGCACTACCTAGCAGTAGTTGTAGGCTGGAACTGAGAAGCAGTTTGGGAGGAGTTTGCGGAGAGAAATGCTAGGAGCAGGAGAAAGTTTTAGGCGTTTTAGGGAAAATAGTAGACATGAGAAGAAAGGTGAAGAAGGAATGGGCTTGGAGAGTCCTTGTAATGAGAAACGGAGCATCTATTTGTCATACAAGCATCTTAAACACAGCTGGCAAACAGCTGCCAGACATTTCCCAGCAAAGCACTGCACATGCAAGCCTGTATGAAACCAACTAGCTGTGGAAGCTGCTTAAATGTGGAGGTGGCCAACACGAGGGTGGTGTTTGAGAAAGGATGGGTGTGCTGGAAAAGCGTGTGAAGAAGGGGACTGAGATTTGGTCCATACATGAGAAGGATCGCTGCCAGACGTGCTTTCTGCTTGCTCTTAACCTGGTGTTTGTGACCTTGAGCTTGGACAGAGCTTGTCTTGTATGGCTTTGAGACATCCACCATGGCACCACAGTCACCTTGGGTGCTTCTTTGGGAGAGGAGCTCTGGGGCAGCCGGTGGGACACTGGTGTGAAAATCGTGGACCCCTTTTGTTTTCTGCAAGTGCTCAAACCAGTTAAGAACCAGTAAGTGCCTCTGGTTGGCCATTTGCTGTCTTATCCTCTAGCATGTGCTAAGCGGAAAGGAGGTTTGATGTTAGCTAAATTCATGTGCAAGGCCAAGGGCAAGGTCCTGCCCGTGGGTCGGGGCGATCCCAGCACAGACCCAGGCTGGGCCCTCGAGGAGCGGCTGGAGAGCAGCCCCGAGGAGAGGGGCTGGGGGGGCTGGGGGGGGGAAAACTGCCCGTGAGGCAGCCCCGTGCGCTGGCAGCCCAGAACCCACCCGTGCCCTGGGCTGCAGCCAGAGCAGGGGGGGCAGCAGGGCCAGGGGGGGGATTGTCCCCCTCTGCTCCGCTCTGGGGAGACCCCCCTGCAGTGCTGGGGCCAGCTCGGGGGCCCCCAACAGCAGAAGGACCCGGAGCTGCTCGAGCGGGGCCAGAGGAGGCCACGGAAATGCTGGGGGGGCTGGAGCAGCTCCCCTGGGGGGCCGGGCTGAGAGAGTTGGGGGGGTTCAGCCTGGAGAAGAGAAGGCTGCGGGGGGACCCTGAGAGCGGCCTCCCAGGGCTTAAAGGGGGGCAGGAGGGGGGGGGTGTCTCTGGGTCAGGGGGTGTGGGAATAGGATAAGGACTAACAGTTTTAAACTGAAAGAGGGGAGATGTAGGTGAGATCTAAGGCAGAAATTGTTCCCTGTGCGGGGGGTGAGGCGCTGGCCCAGGGTGCCCAGAGCAGCTGTGGGTGCCCCCTCCCTGGAAGGGTTCAAGGCCAGGTTGGACGGGGCTGGGAGCCCCCTGGGCTGGGGGAAGGGGGCCCTGCCCGGGGCAGGGGGGGCACTGGGGGGGCTTTGAGGTCCTTCCCAACCCAAACCAACCTGACTGTGGTGGTGCATGTTCTGTCGTATGCGCTGGCCCCTCACCTGCAGGCAGAGTTACCCAGAGCGAACTGTAGGTTTGTCCATACTTAAAATGTTGGATTTAGGTTTTCTGGGGTTTCATGCTGTGTGTGTTCCTCTCCTGGGGGGGCAGAGAAGCAGCAGCTTTGAACCTGAATTTCAGATCAGGTGCAGTTCCTGTGAGGAATTCTCTCTGTTCCCAAACAGCCTGACCTCTGCGGTGCCTCCCCGCGTGCCTACCTTGGCACCGAACCCTTGGATGGCTTAAGACAAACGCTCGGTGTTTTAAGCGGTTTTATTTCGTTACCAACTCCGGAGCTAAATCTTCTGTGTCAGCATTATTCCTTTGTAGTTAATACAAAACCTGCCCATATATGCTAGCTTTTCCTTACCGGTGTGTGCTTCCTGGTGCCCGGGTCTCCCCAGGATTAAAGGGGGCTCCAGCTTGCTGAGGGCAGTCGTCGCGTCCGCGCGCCCCGCGCCGAGGTGTCTCCCACCTTACCAGCCACGCCTGAAATAACGGGTTAGGGCCGATCTCGGGGTTGGAACCATCAGTCCTCTATTCTGTTTGTAACTGTAATTTTGTTTTTTTCTTTGGAGTGTAGGACAAAAGTGGAAAGGAAACCGTCACCACTAAACCAACCCCAAAGGATAAAGGAAAACGCAAAAACCCTAAAACGGTAGAAACATACATATTATAATATCCACAGTCAGTCATGGCTACCATAAACTATAAACGTGAAATATGGACAGCAGGATTTGGGGTTCATATTACACGGGTATTGCTTCGGGGAGAATTTTACATCAATAGGTTGAACTTGATCCATTTTTGTAAGCGTGTGCACAGGAGAAAGGCACCTGTCTATTTCAAGGGAAATTGTCAATAAATGCGGGGTAAACCATATTTCTTTCAGGGAGAGTGTGGCCTTCTACACACGGCTCAGTGCCTGCTCCACAGGCTTCTCATTCCCATGCTTGCTGATCTTAGAGTCACACTTCACACGCCTGTAGCTGCCTTGGGATCCCCATCCCTGTTCTATTTTCTTGACAATTTTAAATAACAACGTTCTAAAAGTGATTCGAAGGTACTCCTTCAATCGCATGTCCATTTCTCAAGTTATTGTCATAATTTATTTTAAAAATATGAATGAAAACCTACATATATTCTTAAATAAGTGCACAGAATGAATCCGGTGGGAAGAGGCAGGCAGTTGTTTCTATATTAAGGGAAAAAAAACAAACAAACAAACAAACAAAACAAAACAAAAAAACAAAAAAAAAAAACCCAGACAAATGAAAAACAAACAAAGGAAAAAAAAAAAAAAAACAACAAACAAAAAACCCACCAACAAACATTGTTTGGCTATTGTCATCCAGAAACATTGCCCATCATGTTGATCTCTCATGGGATACGTGCAGGTAGATGCCTGAATCATCTGGTCTGGAAATGTTAGGTCTCACATTTCAAGTGATGGGATTTTTCCTGAATATGAAATTGCCCTCCGTGCCTTTAGCATAACAACAGAACTGTCTTACAGTTTTCAATGTAAGAATGGGGGGTTCTTTAGCTCCTCGTCAGAAGGATGTGTTTTTTGATGTTTTGAGTCGTGGCTGGATCACTAGCAGGGGTAAAAGTGTGGTGAGAAACAGGACTTGAAGAGGTCAGCCACAGCCCTCTTGATCCGAAACAAAGGAGGTGATGGTGGAAACACGAAAATATATATCCGCAACAGAAGTTAAAAATACTGTTGCTAAACTTTCTGCACTTCAAGCGCAGATATTTATGTCAGAGCTGGGACTTCTGATGAGCACGCCACTGTTTTATGTCGTATTTTAGCTGAGTTCACAGTTTCTTACTATCTCGTGCTTCTCTTGCTCTTTAGGCAAAGGGAGAGTCCTCCAGCAAGAAATCTGAGAAGCAGAAAACAGGCTAAACGTTAACATTACTGGGTGAGATGTCTTCCTCGCTTTTCCCTCAACTGCCACCGGGACAACTCACGCTTGCGTTTCTGAAGCTGTTTGGCTGATGGTCCTGTAACGTGGTTAGAGGTGCTGTTAGGCACCACTCTCAGCATCGCTTTGAACTCCGGTGTTCCTAGGCAGAAAGGGCCTTCCTTTCCTCGTGCCTGTACATTTTGCACAGAATTACTCCGCGTGGCTGAATCCCTTTGGGTTCATGCAGCGAGGGGTTCAGGGGCCCGACGTGCTGCTTCCCTAGCCAGTACCTTCTGACAGAGGAATGAAGACGGGGCGCTTTTCAAGGGGCTGTTTTCAGGACCGTGGGCTTGGGCCGTTATTTCTGCACCAGGCTGCCTTGGGCACAGCGTCCAGGAGAGACGCAGGAAGCCCCGGACCCGAGCAGGCAGGTGCAGCACCTGCCGGGGTTCTGCTCTTGGCTCTGCGGGCACGAAGAGCCTCGTGCTGTGCCCAGGGGCCTTCTCCCCTCCCCTCGGCGTAACCGTGAGCGGTTGGAGGTGGCGCCCTCGGCCCAGGGGGGTAACCCCAGTCCTCCAGCATCGTCCACGGGCTGGGGCTTGGTCAGGCGGCCCCAGCAATTAACGCGGCGAAACGCCGGTGGGGACGGCAAAGTCCGCAGGGGGCTCGGCCCCACAGTGCCGCGCCGCTTCCGAACGGGCCCTCCGCCCTTCCGAAATCAGGTCCTCCTGGATTTCCGTCTGGCACTAGAGACGTCAGTTTCCCATAATTCCTCCCAGATTTATTTCGTGAGGGTTTTTCCCAAGTTAAGATAAACGCTCTGACTATTTTTTTTTTTTTCCTTTTTCTCCCCCCCCCCCCCCCCCCCAGGATCTTGGCGCATCGTGCGAAACGTCGTCTTTCTGTTGGTGGACAATCATTCACAAAGAACAAGAGCTGATGCAAAAAAAGCATGTGGTTATTCCGGGTGGTTGTTGTAGAGTGATACCTGCTGGACTTTTTTCCTATTTTCTTTTTTCCCGGTAGTAGAGTAAGGTGTTTCGGGTTTTTTCCATAGCCATTCATTTTATTATCCTCATATACTTTGACTTTTTTAAATTTTCTTCAGTTTTCAGAGGGAAAGAATGCTTTATATTTGCAAGAAATATATTTCATAAATGAACAGCAATGCCAAAAAAAAAAAAAAAAAAAAAAAAAAATTCTGCAGACTTTTGCACATAACCTCCACAGAGTGCCTGTAAATCTCAGAAGAATTTGTATGTGCTTGCATTTTGAACATTGCAGTGAATGCATTAAGTATTCTGGAACATGATGAGCTTTAGTTACCTTCAGCTCACCTCAGCCTGGCTGTGCGGCGTTTCCTGGTTGGAAACCAGAGGTAAGCTGTGAGTAGCTAAAGGATGAAAAACTGGGGATTTATCGCTTCATCAAGCGCATCTAGCAATTTAGAGCAGGTATTTTGGATGCTGCCTTAACTAGTTAGAACAACCAAAATACACCGAATAAGGATTCTTTTTTTTTTTTTTTTTTAATTATTATTATTATTTCCGATCGTATCTGTACTGTTACCTCGTAATTTCAGGAGTCTCCTGGACTGAACAAACACAAATCCTAGTGCAGCAGTGACACCGTTACCGTCACGGAGGAGAAGTAAAGGAGGACCACGAGCCTGAGCGGAGATCAAAGGGACGTTCAGGTCGGCAGGCGGACTTTTCCTTCTCTTGTTTCTTTTGTGTAGCCGGCCCCGCTTCTCGTCCCCCCCCCCCGGCAGGGAGCTGGCTCAGCACAAGGTGCTGCCCCGCGTGTTTCCCCCGGCGCCCCGTGCCCCCCGGGACAGCCCCCCTGCACGTCCCCCCACGCGCGGTGCTCCGCCGGCGGCGGGGGGGGGAGGCTCACCCCGACCTTCGGCGCCGGAGTCTGGCTCGGGTGCGTCGGCGCTGCGGACGGAGGCAGCCCGGGGATTTCAGTTGGGGATATTGAGACTTTCGACTGTGCTGCGCAGTCTGTACCGAGAACCTGTGTCACACTAATAAAAGTTTTTAAGCATGCATTACGGCGTCCGTGGCTTTCCGTTTATCGCTGCTGTTGTCTGAGTAGCGACCGTGAGACACACCCCAGAAATGATTTTAAAAAAAAAAAAAAAAAAAAAAAATATTCAGCACGTTAGAGCCGAGTGTGATGCGTTCAGAAAAACCTGCAAAACACCTGTCAGCCGGTGCTTCAACAAGGCCCTCACGCTCTGATCAAGACCCAGCTACGGCGTTTTTTTCCCCCTTTTCCCTCAGTTTTGGTTAACCAGGGCCGAATTCAACTTCTGGAACTCCCGCGGTGCAGGGAAGCAGCAAGAAGATGGAAGGCACGGGCCCCGGAGTGCTCAGAAGCGAAGTGGTTACTTCACCGAAAGGTCCCGGGTGGGGTCTCTGCTGAGGGTGAGCTCGTTCTGGGGGGGGTCCCCTCCCGCGCACGGGGTCTGGAACGTGCAGCCTCTCCGTTTTTGTTAAAAAAAGCCCTCCCGGCTCGCGACAGCGTTGGAAAGCAAGCAACAGTCAGCGACACCTGGAGCAGCGGGACGTGCCGCGCAGGCGGTGCACAGCCCCCCCGGAATTCCCGTGTCCCTCACCGAGGTACGAGGCGCAAGACGCCTCGCGCGGAAGAGGGTGCGGCGGGCGCAGGGAAACGCTGTTTTTTACAAAATTGAAGCTTTTTCTCCCTCAGCAGCGGGACGGAAGAGCCCTCCTGGCCTCTCCCGAAGTCGGGCCCCGCTCCTCGGGCAGGTGCAGCGTCCAGTTGGGGGAAAAGCAAGCGCGGCGCAGCCCAGAGCTTACCCTTAGCTCCCGGTTTATGCGTTTTTCTCCAAGTTTTTCTCTCCGTCGGAGCTCCTGGCCACATCAGCGCATCGGTGAGGAAACGGAGGCGGGTCAGAACCGCAGAGGAAACAACCGGCACGGAGTCACAGCGAGGGCAGGGCTGTCAGGGCAAAGAAATTAAGTGCATCCAAGCACTTAATCAGTCGGGTTTTACTTTTTTAAGTTTAGTGCAGAAATAAAAGCTTTCTGCAGGCAAACAGAGGCGGCCATTCACAACTGCCTGTGAAAAAAAAAAAAAAAAAGCCCTTTACTAAAAAAAAAAATCCTCACCTCCAAGATTTCAATGTAGCTTTCTTAAGCAACTGTCCTTTGCGAGCGCTTGATAATAGTAATTTCTCTCCTTACAGCAATTAGCTTACAATTTTTATCGTTAACCTATAGATAAGGTAGGAAGACCATTACAAATGACTGTCCTTTTAAATGTCAATGAGTACATGTGACAACAGTCGTGGTACAATTAGGTGAAAAAGGGGTAATTAAAAGCAAAAATCCCTTCTACAATAAAATGACGGTTAATCATCTAAAGTAAAATTCACCAAATTTTTCTTTTTTTTTTTTTTTTTGGCACACAAACTGTATGCCCTTGTTCCCCGAACATTACCTAAAAGCGCAAGAATATTTCAAGTGCAGGTAGGCATTTTCAGCAGAAGAAGGGCCTGGGAGCAGCTGGTACCGGGGACTATGATAAACCTGCGCAGGCGCACTCCTTGCACTTGGACAGGCTCAATTTTAATTACAGCAGATACTTGGGGTTTGTTTTGGGTTTTTTTGTTTTTGTTTTTGTTTTTGTTTTTTTTTTAGTTTTGGTTTGTTTTTTTGTTGTTTTTTTTTTTGGTTTTGTTTTTTTTTTAGTTTTGGTTTGTTTTTTTGTTGTTTTTTTTTTTGTTTTGTTTTTTTTTTAGTTTTGGTTTGTTTTTTTGTTTTTTTTTTGGTTTTGTTTTTTTTTTAGTTTTGGTTTGTTTTTTTGTTGTTGTTTTTGTTTTGTTTTGGTTTTTTTTTTAGTTTTGGTTTTTTTGTTGGTTTTGTTTTTTTTTTTTTAGTTTTGGTTTGGTTTTTTGTTGTTTTTTGTTTGTTTGTTTTTTTGTTTGTTTTGTTTTTGTTTTTTTTTATTTTTTTAATTGCGTGACGCTCAAGCTGAGCAACTCCCTTGTAAGAATTACTCTCCTGGAAACATAAACCAATCGGACAAAGCCACGTGCACGGGCGGCCTCGCTGCAGCCCGCAGCAGAGCCGCCGGCCGCCCTGCTCGGAGGGCGAGAGGAGGGTCGGGGCTTGGGGGTGGGAAGTTCCCCCCGCCTGGGTGTCCCCCAGGACCTGCTGCCTTGTCAGAAGCCGTGAATGTCGGGGTCTCCAGCCCCCCCGGCGCCTTAGCTCACTGCACAACGTTCCTTTTCCCTTTTTTGTGTCACCTGGTGAGAGAGACCGGTGGCTGACAGAGTCCTGTCCCAGCGAACCACAACCGACAGAGAGAAAAACACTGAGCATCAGCCTGCCCTGCAGCTCCTTCCACAGAAACCGATTTATACAATCGAGCTGTCCCGCCAGCCCTGAATTTTCACAGCTTTTCCGTGCTTTTCAGTTATTCCTGACAGACAGAAGCGAGGCGCCTCTACTTACAGATGATTGTTTTGCAACCGTGTTTTGACTTTCCCAACATGTCCATCCACCCATTGCGCATTGTTTTCGGTGGTTTTGACAGATCACTGGACACAGCGAAGCCACGTGCTCGCTTCGTCCAGAATTCTTCCTCCTGTTGACAAAAAAATGTGAGCGAACAGCGGGTGAAGAGGCAGCAATGTCTCTCAGGTGCGTGGGAAGACCCACGGGACATTTGTGATGCTCAAACCCAGCCTTGGGTCTTCCACTTCCTTTCCCTCCCACCTCCACCCCCAGAACAGTTTTTTTAGAAAGGTTTTACAGTGGCTGGGTGGCACAACTCTACCCTTTGCGTCCCGTCACGTAGGGCCAGGACGTGCCAGGAGGAGGGCAAAGCACGTCCTGAGTGATGGAACGGAAGATCACCGCTTGCACTGGAACAGAAAAGGTGGTCATCTTGGACCCCCGAGGTCGTGACTTCATCCTCCCTCCTCTTCATCACCTCCCCAACAACGCCCTTTGTGGTCTTAGTGGCATGCAGCCCGGTTCCACGGCGTGGGTAGAGGTCTGTTTTGCTGCTTGCTTCCTCTAATCCTTAACTTTTCTCACGCTTTAACCTTCAGTCGTTGCACCACACGTATTTAAACGAGAACAGGGTCCACAAGCAACAGAGGCTTACTCCATCGGACGCAGCCTACAGATCAAAAATAGCTCCTCCCACCACTAACGCACGAACCGAGGCAGATTACATTTCAAATTAATTTATAAACGCAGCTGAGGGAGCTGTCATGCCGTGTGGGGGATGCGCCTGGTTCCTGCTCGTTCATCAGACCCTCACGGCCGCTTAAGCCACAGCACCGGGGGGGTGGGACGGCAGGTAAAACACTTCCAGAAGTTTTCCCTACACAGGGAAGTCTGTGCCTCCTTTTAGTTTTCTCAAAAACCAAGACCCCTCCGGCTCTCACGGCGGGTGGGAAGCCGCTATTCTCATCCCTGAAGCACTTGGGAACGCGGCCACTGGAGACGTGGAAGCTGCTGCTGCTCCTGGACATCTCTGCATTCCCTGTGGCGGCTGGAAGTGTTGGCAGCTGCCTCACTCACTTTATTTTTTTTTATTTTTATTTTTTTAAAGGGAGCACTCCTAATCACAAGACTCATTGTGGAAACTCAACGCAGCCTCAGACTTGAGCTGGCGGTGATAGTGGACAGATACTTTCAAAAAACGCAGTGGCTGTGCATACTGAATGAATTAAATACATCGTTTTCTGATAACTTACCTTGATGAGTACAACACAAGATGCAAATGTTTGTGCAGACTACAAGAAAGACATAAACAGGATCCAAGGAGGGGAGTCGCTGGATTTTCTCTCTCAACATTACACTGATTCTGCGTTCAGACTCGCACCTGAGCCCCCACAGAAGCGCCCCTGCAGCCCCCGGCCCCGGCCACGCGGCTGCTGCCGACGCGCCGCGGGAGCCCGCTCAGATTTACACAGGACTGAGAACTGTGCAGAACGACGTGCTGCCCCCTGCTTTCTTTCCTTTTGTATTTAACATGGCTGCGTCGCTTATGGCGCAGGCAGAAAATTTTAAAGTGGCAACAAAATCAGCAGCTTCTGAAGAGAAACTGTCAGGAGTGCCAATAAATCTGCATACTGACCAGTCTGGGGTTTTTCACCACAAACAGAGGTTTTGGTGCAAGCAGACAAAACGACTACCCTATACGACACCCTGGAGCATGGAGAATTTTCCCCAGAGTAGAAGATGTAGAACAGTGGTGCAATTCAGCATTTTTCTTCTGTCCACTCAGTGAAAATACCCATTTTTTTTTTTTTTTTGTCCTCATTACTTTCCAGAATGGGTAGAAAATACTAATAGAGGCGGGTTAAATCATGAATGCTTTGGTAGATGAACACTCTGCATCCAAGCTCACTGCTCAAACAAAGAACAACTTCCTCCTCATCACATGCTCTCCCTTGAGTAATCAAACTCATCACCACAGTAATCTTTTTACAAGAAAAAGGCAAACTATTATCCAATCCTTCATAACCGGGCACGATTTTACCATGCTATCATTTAATCCAAATTTTCATTTGAGTTATACTACAACTATCTTTTAAAACCAGCAAGCTGTGACCTTGTTGAGCACCAACAACTTGTCGCTCCAGTGACAATGCCTGCTACGGAACTCAAACAGAGTTCAAATCTGGCAAAAAGAATCACCTATACTCAGAAAATGTCTGGTTTTGTAGAAAGCAGTGTTTGAAAGTACAACTGGGTAGAGGCAGAAGCAAAGCAGCTTATGTTCCTTACTTTTCTGCAACTTTCTCCCAATTTTCTGTTGAAGACGTCCAAGCTAGACGATAGCCAGATGGGTTTTGGCAACAAACACAATAATATGTGGAAGATCCTGAGTTCTTTTGATGTCACCACGCAGACCTTGATCTACTAACCTAAGAAATAATAATAGAAATGGAAGCTGTTTAGACTAGTAGATAAAGCTGACAAATCACTATTCCCTTAGTATTTGGTTCTGTGGTTGAGAGTTCACATTTCTAAAGGTCCCGACACACCATTTCTGCTGGGTTACTTCCAAATTCTCACAACGTACTCTGTGGCTGCATCCGTCTTTCCCACTTCTGTTACTTCCACAATTACAGTTCCTTGGCAGACCTGTATTCTGGATATAAAGTATAAAAACAAGGCTACATTTTGCTTCAACCAAGAATTTCCAGATTAATATGAAACTTGCTTCTCCGCCTCTGAGAAAGGTATTTGTTCGACACCGTGTCCATGGAAAATTCAGGCCAGCGAGTGCTGCTCATGACTAAGGTGTCCAAACAGCGGTGTAACTCACAGAATGAACACTACAGAACAGCTGAAGTACGTCTGCAGTGATACCTGAACAGAGCTAAACCAGTGTCCCACGCTGTCACCCTTGTCAAATGGCAGAAACCAGGTTTGCAGAGTGCAGGGTTTGAAGCTAACGCCTGAAAACCTCCGTGCTGCTCAGCTCTTAGAAGCAGGAAACCTCAAATTCATACAAGAAATATACAGCGTATGTAGCTATAATCAAAGTAACTGCAAAGGTAAATAAAGAAGTGAGCGCCTGTCAAGCAAAGAGAAGATATCTGAATAGCTGTTTTATTCTGAGCAAATTCTGAGCGCACTGACTCCTGACACCAAAACACAGAAATGGAAAGGTGCAGCCACTTCCTCCGACCATATTAACTCTGTAAAGCATTTTATACATCCTGAAATTCAAAAGCTGTGAAACAAGACTCTGAATAAGTCCATTTCATGTGTCAGTGTTCATGAATTTTCCCCAACCACATTTCTGTTCCTGTGTAACTGCTTACCACTAAAGTTCATCCTTCCTTCACCCGAGGCTGAGAGCTAATTCAATGTTCTCTCTCCCTGCGTTGAACGAGTGCAGTCTGTGTTTACCAAGGAGGAAATCCCAGCCTTTGGATGTTTGTGGTCCAACAGCACACGCTGCTATCTGCACATCTGCTGGCAAGCTACAAGTTGAATACCGAGTTACTCCCCATGTCGCGTTTACTAACACCTGTAGAAACCCAACCATGTCGCCGTCACACATCAACTGGCAAAGCAACTTACTGAAAAATACCATCAGGGGTGTTTGAAAGTGATCCCTGCGGCTGGGAAACAGTTGAATGTACCAGGATGTATCTCAGTATTGTTCCTGCCTTGTAAATGACTACCAGAAATTATGGAGTCATCATTACTTTTTTTTTTTTTTTTTTTATATATATTCATTTCCATGGCTATGCTTAGTCAGACACCGACACAGCCTCCTTGGGCGTGCCCAGAACAATCTCTCAGAGACATTCTGCAGAGTGTTTTCACAGAATCACAGAATGGTTTGGGTCGGAAGCAGCCCTGCAGCTGCCGGCGCCCCGGGCAGGCACGCAGGGTGCAGCGACCCCCCCGAGTACTGACCCTGAGCTGCACGGGGAAAGGCACATGCCGAGACAGTTCCATCAGCAAGTAAAAGCTGTGAAGGTGCATCACGGTTGGCCACAGCAGGGTTTCGGCTTGCCTGCAGAGATTTCCCCGTTGTGTTCCCCCTGCAGAGGAGGCAGAACGAGCTCCCTCCACGCAGCGCTGCCGCCGCTGCAGCTGGACGCTCTTCCCTCCAGCTGTGGCAGTTCCCAGGGAAAACGTTTTTTTTTTTTTGCAGCATCCAAGAGTCCAGCATCGCCCTCACACGACGGGTCTCTCCTTTAGTCCAGTGCTGGTTCTCAGCGAGGGGAAGGGAAGAGATGTTAAGGGGAGGAAGACAGGAGTAGACTGGCAGAACTGTACGAGCTGCTGGGGTTTGTGAGCTCTGCGTGGGACTGTTCAGGTGGAATGTCTGTCATGATATCGAGTTGAGGTTTTCCTGTGGATGCTTTCATACAGCTAATGACATCTCCTGAGGTACTCCTGTTTTGCAGACGGCACGGGAGTGGGATTTCTGTCCAACCTCAACAAAACCAGATTTCCAATGGGACTGAACAACTTTACATTCTCCCTAGAGCCACGCTCAAGCGGTAAAGAATGCTTCGGAGGGTGCACGTGCCAAGGCCATGGCACAGAACAGTGACGTGAGGGCACAGGTATGTGTCAAATTCGTAAATACTGGTGGGTGAAAGAACAGACTTTTGCTGCATTTGAAAGTGACTGGTGGCTTCTTCTGCAAAAATCATCACCTTACAGTTCATTCTTGTCAGTAGCTGCTGTCGGGCAAATCTGAAAGGGGGGAAAAAAAAAAAAAAGTTTTGGTCATCTCTCTTTGATGTCATAATCATAAATACTGGTCACCATCTTCAGTGATATATTAGAGGGTCACTTTATTCATGAGAAGTTACAAAATCTGGAAAAAAAAAAAAAAAAAAAAGAGGGAATAAGGAATACTTACATTTGTCGTGGTGTTCCACAAATCTTCATTTTTTGTATTCCGTTAGCTCCATTTCCACAGGTACTGCGCAAGTCCAGCTTTACACACATCAGCAGTCAGGTAGTCCGTCAGCATATTTAATATACAAGATCCCTGAAAACAAAGAGCGAAAAAGTGTTCACAAAACTAGTCCTTAGCGGGCAAAATGCCTGTTGTTTCAGAAAAATTTCACCATGCCACTAATCTGCATAGCAGTTCACTTTTGTGTGTCATTCTAATTAAAAAAAATAATTGGGTTTTTTATGTATATTGAAACAGTACTTCATTTTTTTGCAATCATTACTCTTAAAAATAGAAATTATTGAGTAAGTGATGCTATCATGTCTTTAATTACTATACAAGCCAGCACCATATAATGCTTCAGTGAAAACACCTTGTGTTAAGAACCCAAAAAAGTGTTTTTTGGGTTCTTAATTGATACAGAATGGACAGAAGAAGTAAAGGCTTCCTCATTTTAGAAATGGAAAAGGCAACTGCCATTTGAATCCACCCAGGTGTTTTGGATACAGAACTATTAAAGTCATAAAACCATTAACAACATGTGTCAGGGATGTTTTATACGTAAGGGTGAAATCAATTGCATAGTACAAGCAGTACAACTGAAATCAAAAGCAGTCATGTATTTTACTTTCTCATAAGAAACATTATCAAACAGTTCTAAAATTTTAGATGGATCTTCCATAGGAGCAGATATAGGCTGTGATGAATTTAATTCATTCACTGCCATGGCATCAAAACATCTTCTTAAGAAACAGTCTTCCTAACAGGAGGCAAAACCAAGTATTACCACTAAATTTTGCTCAGTGACCACTGAATTCATTCACTTCTCAGTCCCTTCCACGTGATCTTTAAATCATACAAAGAAAGCAAAACATATCTTCCTTTTTATTCCAGAGCATGAAAAAAACCCAAACCAGTAATGCAGACAGACAAATGAGCTCCAGCATTCCAAACCAACTTAAACAGTTGATCGAGCTGAAGATGTCCCTGCTCATGGGAGGGGGGTAGGACGAGGTGGCCTTTAAAGGTCCCTTCCCCCCCAAACCACCCTGTCATTCTGTGATTCTAAACAGTCAAGCTACTGAGACACAAAAATAGCTCCAAAATGACACCCACACATTCCAGCAGTTTGATGACAGAGTAGTCAGTAACTATAAAACAAATTTAGAAAAAAAAAAAAAAAAAAAAAAAAGGTGAATTTCCCTATTATCATGCCACTGTAGTGCTATGGCAAAACTCTGCCCAGGTGTCTTGTTCATCTCGCTTTGGTAGAAAATTTCATATATTGGACCTCTGCTAGTGCTACTGGAAGGATTTTAGCATTTTCAAGTCTGACCCTATCTGATGAAATAAGATAGAATAATTTCTTTACACTTTTGGATGTCTAAATGCCTTTAAAAAAATAATACACTTTCACTGCAATCATTAACTTTCCTCATAAGTTCCTGAAAATATTTACGTATAGTTAAAACAACATTCCTCCCTTTCAGAGTTAGCACCAGATAACCCTCTCAAACAGAAATTTAAAAGTGGTTCACGGCACAAATCTGCCTGATCCTTATCCTTACTAATTAGTGGATTTAGAAGGCAGTTATAAAATAAAAACACAGCAGCTGCTGCTTACAGCTCTCACTCCTGGGTGGCTACCTCTGACCGACATGAACCCCATAAACCTTGCAAACCCTTCACGCCACCACAGATCCTTCCCCCACTCCGTGGTAACGAGGTGGCCAAACCACTGTGGGAAAAAAAAAAAAAAAAAAGGAAAAAAAAAAAGAGCTTCCGAAATGAAATACACAATTTACCACAAAAGCTGCTACTGACCTGTATGGAACTGCGTTATTGACCTGTAAGGAACACTTTTTTAGTGATACAGCCTGCTCTGGCCCCTTCCCCTTCCGTTTCTCTTTTGGGTGGTAACGTGCTAAAACACTCCGCGTTTGGCCGGAGAGCCACATACGAATCAGTCAACCTTTCCAAACTTTTACGTCCCTATTCCGGCGGCCTGCGACTGATTTCAAGGGCTGGCGATGGTGCGAGGGCCCTGCAGCACTGGGGCTGCCGACTGCATTGATGCCTGTGGCCCTCCACGTCCAAGGCAGCCGCCGGGGATTGAGGGAGTCCTCACCCTTCGCAGATGAGCACCCCCAAGCCCAAGCCGCTATTTCCAGCTTACAGCTCCAAGATCCCGCTCCCCACCCCGTGCCCACCGCTCCTGACCCCGCTGCAGGACCGCTCAAACTCCTTATTCTCCCCCAAAATCTCGCCCGATGAGCCAGCCCGCGGGCTGCTCCCATACTAACCCGAAGTTTGGAAGACGCTGAGGACTTTTCAGGGTTGTACAACGGCACAGATTCCTGGTGCGTGGTCAGCCCCTGGTTTTCCATAGCTCCGGACTGAAAATCAGGAGTAGCCGCCAAATCTGGAAAAAACAATAAAAGAGTACTCCTGTCATTTCACTCAATGCAGAACTCGCTTGTTGGAGAATGGCTCAGAGACAAGGGTCCTGGGCCTTTAGCCAGTAGATTGTAAGCCTGTGTGCCTGAGTTGTGCCTTGTCATGTATTAAGAAAATCTTTGAACGAACGTTAGGGCAGGCTCTGCTCATACAAAAAGAAAAAGGGGGAATTGTTGGAGAATGGCTCAGAGACAAGGGTCCTGAGCCCACCGAGCAATTGTACGATCAGAGCCTGCTCTGGCTGCTGATGCTGAGCCTCACTGATGCTGGGCCTCACTAGGGTTTGCCTGCAGCTGCTCGCAGCTGCTGATACAGGAGGAATGTCAAGGACGCTTCAGCCCTGTGTACTGTGGTGTGTCGAAAACAGGTTAAGGGGAATTAGGAATAGTGGTCTGAGAAACCCAGTGTTATGGTAACGGTGGTCTGAGAAACATTGTGTTACGGTACTGTCGTGTATCGAAAACAAGTCAAGAGGAATCAGAAATAGTAGCATGAGAAACTTAGTGTTATGAGAAGCTTGTGCTGTTAGCTGACTGCAAGTAGGTGGACCGTGCGAATACGACCCTTAGAGCTTAAGTCAATCAGCTAGTGACTAGTAGGCATAATAATTATCATTGTCTGGATAAATATATGTACCCTGGGCCAATAAACACACACGGTGATTGATGCTCTATCGCCCACACTGAACCCGTCTCGGCGTGTCGTTCGTCCGCGGCGCCGCACTCGCTCACCCGCCGATCCCACGTCATGACTGCTCCCACACCGGCACACGGATCACACACACTTCTAAGGGCTGTCTTAGGTGTGATCGCAAAGACACGCTTTAGAAAAAAGCTCTACTCAGAAGAGAAGGATTTTCAGTTCCTGGTGGAGCTTTTCAATCTGTCTTTAAGTTCTGTGGTGCGGCCCGTTTAAAAGCCTGTGAGCCAAACTTGGCCCTCTCTTAATACTCTAAATCACTGTTTGTGTGCAGTTTTGCTCTCTATAGTTAATAATGCTCCCAAATACATTAAATTATTTAGCGCTTTACCTGGTTTAGGTGAAGGACACGGGATGCTGAGGTAACCCTCCCAGGCGTTTATCCAGCGCGAATCCAGCTTGTTTGACCTCGTCTGGCACCGTGTACACAGCAATCCACAGCACTTCAGCACCAGCATCGACAGCTTACCGAGGCTGTTCTTCACCACAGTCACTTGAGCAAGCACAAAAAGGGACGCTAGAGCACACACCTAGCACTTCTCTGATAAGAGCTGCTAAAACTTTTGCTGAAAAATATGATCAGAATTAGGAATAAAAGTTTTTAAACTGACCCACTAGAATCACTGAGCCCCTACAAAGACTCTGACAACTTCCACCCCTACCATGTCACAGTCGTTCAACTGACAGAGGTTTATTTTAGTGCTGCTTCTCCACAAAAACAATATTTCATTTGCCTTTAGTTATATAATCTTATATGAAACAATGTTACCGATGCATATAATTATATAAAAAGCAAGCTTGTTATCAAAACCTTTTGAAACAAATAAAGCTCAGAATGCAAACTAATCGTCCAATCACAAAACCAATTTCTTTCTTTCCTTTAATTCCTGTAAAACATCAAGACACAGAGATCCAATACTTTAAATGAAAAGTAAACCGTTATGTATTCATACAGACATAAGTACAAAAAAGCTCTTAGACAATGAGACAGTTACTGTAACTCCATGACTGGTTATTTTACTGATGGATTATAAAATCCAGAACGATAAAGGCCATGAGGTACACAGTAACCTTGACAGTGGTATCAAAACAGTCCTCGACGAGGCAGGGAGTTACATTCACAGACTTCCCCTAAAAATCAAGCACAGCTCATCACCCTGTGCACCCAGGCACCAACAACTGCTGCACTTCTTCTCGGTTTAAAGGTACCACGTTTTAAAGGCACTACCTAACATTTCACAGGTACACTGGAAAGAATTCATCCCCGTTCCCCCTCTTCCCCACCCAGAGAACAAAACCACATGTTTGGATATACACGAGCAGTTTCATTCCTAAGCATTACTTACTTCCACATTGGTAAAACTAGAAAAATGAAAATACTGTTCACTGCTTCAGTCTTCCTCGGTGTCTGCCAGCACGCTGATCATATTGATTTCACGCAACTTCGGCTGATTAGAAATGTATAAATCTCAGCAGCCGTTCTTACAGGTGGGAGAAAGGAACTCCTCCAAACTGTGATTCAGTTACCTCTGACATCTAGTTTTGCATGAAATGAGTCCCGTGTTGGAGGTTTCCATTTTCCCCTCTTGGTTACAGAGACCCTTAGCTAACTAACTTAGGCCTGCAGCATGTTTAGCCACGCTGAACTGTAACACCAGCACCCACTCCTCTTTCACTATTTTATTCGCTTCTCTACAAAAGAATTTATTTTTTTATACCAATTTTCAAAAGGTTTCATTTTTGAAAGGTACTTGAAGAGGGGGTGGGGGTGCTGTTCCCTCATTCATAAGGGTTAGTTTCCTTGCAAACCAGCAACTAATAGTAGAGAAGAAGTTATGATGAACCTCTTACACCCAAGGTAAGATCAAATATATAAAGCATAGTTCACTCTATATATGCATACATAATCACAAATAACATCTGCAGCTATTACATGTGCTGCACTTCCACCTGAAGATGTTTTTTTGAAATCCAAAGTGTTTTTTTTGGAGAGAAGGTCCTGCTTATCAAAGTTAATACACACGAATCTTGTATTTACTCACATGCATTTCATCGTTAATCTTAAAAACTAAGGAAGATGAGCACGGAAAGCACTTTGTGAGTAAGGTTATGGAGACTACGCTGTGCTGATCATTCTCACACCTCTGCCGAGAAGCAGGAACCCACTCGGCGCATGATTTTCTTCATTCCGTTTCAGCCTTGTGTCAAGGCTACCAGCAACAAGCAGCACCACGCACTCCACAGAAGATCTCTGCGGTCGTGTTCAGATCACCATGAACGGCAACTGCCCGCACCTTCTGTTCTCCCTTTGCGTGCTTGTTTCAAAGGCCATCAAGCAGCAGCACATCGTTAAAAGCGTCCGACGACGACTGGCACACTGGGCCGCGTCCCCTCCCTCCGCACCAGCCAGTCTCCCCATCCCGGCGAAGGGCAGAGCAGCCAGGTTCAGATGGATGAAGAGGAGGGTGAAGGCCCCGGCCCCGGCTGTCGGAGCGGGCTGGGTCAGGCACAGCTCGGTTACTGAGCTGGAGCCGCCTGGGGGGAAGGCCCGAGGTGCTGGACGCGGGGTTTGGGGTAAAAGCTCTATGGATTGGCCCACCACGAGACAGGAGTGTGTTCATTAAAAGCCCCTGTGCTGCCGTGTAATTCCTTTCTTCACCGAGGAATAAAAGGCACGTAAGCCCTTAACCTGTTTTAGGTCTTGGTGTCGCCACTTGACCTTTTCAAGGATAAAGCATTAACTCGGGAGCACGTTCCTTGCTGCTCTTGAGAAGATTAAAGCAATCAATTCCAGTGCATTGCAGAAGCTTCTGCGGACAGTTCTCTTCTTAATCTCGTTCTTGGTGTGCAGCATCACTCCTGTTAAGGCTTGGATACTGAAGACTGCCGTGCCAAGCACCGAGTATTCTGGGAAGTAGTCATGTTTATCTCTTTCCGTTGTTCATTACAGTTTTGCTGCTTTTTTTCCTAAACACACGTACCCAACAAAGCTCGCTTGCGAGATATCCGTCACGGAATAAACAGATCAGGTGCTCGTGAATACCAAGGAAGCCCAACCGGGGTGCATACGAAGGTGGTAGGGACACCTGCCCACCTCCTTCCCTTGGCCGCAGGTCACCCTGTGCCCTTGCGGGGTGGCACTGCCGGTGGCTTCTCTGCCGCTCCCCGTCCCTCCCTGCTCGCTCAGGCAGCTCCTTCCTCTGTGCCCGTTCCCTCGGATCCGGAGAGGGCTCCTCTCTTCCCTCCAGCTTTCCTTCCTCTTGTTCATCGCCAGGTGCAGCCGAGGTGCAGCGTCACTGCCCTCCAGCCAAGGGTGGGGGAGGATCCCGGCCCCTCGCAGCGGCAGCGGGAGGGTAGGTGCAGATTTTGGCAGCAAGGCTCTGCCCGCAGCTCCCAGCCGGGTGCCGCTGTGTCTGCTGCCGGTGTGCAGGCTCGGGGGGGGGGCGCAGCCCCTCGACCCCCAGCTGCTGCCCCCCGTGCCTCCGCCCCCTCGCCCTCCCTCCGCATTGCTCTTCTCCCGGGCTGCCGGGGAAAAGGCTGGAAGCCGAGGTTTCTGGCTTGGCTGCAGGGCAGGTGCCCGCCTGGTTCCCTATCAGCAGGCGAGCTGGTGGAGAAAATGGAAGTGAGGGGACCCCCCCGTGGGGCTGAGGGAGGCGGGTAAAGCTGGGCGAGCACTGGCCTGGCACTAAGGACAGCACTCGGGTGAAAATGAGAATTCAGTCTCGATAGCCGTGACAGCTATTAAGCGGGTATTCTTTATTCAACGTGTCGGACGCACAGGGGATCATCCCTCCCAGTATGCGTACCACCGTAGTGGAGTTTATGGTACTTATACACAATGCACTTACACATTCATGTAATTTCCAAGAAATAATTACAATATTCATTAGTTTCCTGAGAAATCACTATAATAAGTTACCACCTACTTCCGCATGCACACTACAATCTCTAGGTGGTCTTCTAGGACCCATGGTGGTCATGTACTTCATCCTTCCCATCTTCGTCAGCGTCCCTTCTGTGAACTTGGTTCTGTCTTCCCCTTTCTCTTACAGCTGAGAGCACAAAACCAGCTGCACCTGGTAGTTCTGCAGGCTTCAGCGTCCTTCTTCCGTTATCTTGTTTTTCATAGGCAGGAGCGTACCCAAATCATGTAAGCAGGCAGGCTCAAGCCCAACTATCGCCCGCTGAGGAACGCCAAGGCACTGTGAGTATTCACTCTAAACTCGAGGAGGGAACTTTTACTTTGAGCTAGCTTCTCTTATTCTTTCTCTACTTATTGCTGTGTGTGGGTATATACTTCATTCTACCGGATCCGAATACTTTTGCCGCATGTGTTTGCACATTCTGTCTTTGTGTATGCACACATATACATATGTATTGATTTAAAATAACATACAGTAAGTTAAAGTGAAGCTTGTCACCTTAGAATCCATAGATAAGTCACTATTTTAATTATAACATCTTTCTGAATTATTTTGTACATATTTAAACCAGTTAACGATCAAGTGTTGTTAGTTATTAATAAATTTTGATTTGCTGTTAAATCATTACCATGTTAATACTTTCACCTGCGACACCCTCCCCGGAGGCTACGGGAAAAGGAGCCCCCTCACAACAGGGACGACGTGATGCAGCAGCAAGTCGTGCTTGCCATGGCTGCGGGGAGATACCTGCTTCAGAGCCTGCCTGGGCCAGGGCTTCTCCGCGGCTCCAGGCATCTCCTGTCCTGGCAGGACCTTGCTGGCACTGCCTTCGGGCCTCGCACTTGGCCCATCGGTGGGCTGGATGGGAGGGCAGAGGGTGCTCCAGGGCTCCCCAGTGCCTCTTGCCTTTTCATCTGTCCTGGGTTGAGTGAGTGGTGGAGTTTTTTGGTGGCAGGGGAGGGGGCTATCGGGGCGGCCCCCTGTGAGAAGCTTCTCGAAGCTCCCCCAGCTCCACGTCAGCTCCACTTCTGTTTGGGAAATTGAGCCCATCAGCTGCGCCTCTGCGATAACGTATTTAAGAAGGGACGTGGTGACAGGCAGTGGGACTGGTGAGGAGGAGTTGCTGCAGCTGCATGAACACCAAGGTCAGTGGAGGAACGGAAGAAGAAAGGAGGGGGGAGGTGTGCCGGAGCAGAGACCCCCCTGTATCCTGTGGGGAGACGGCAGGGCGGCCCCCCCCTACCACCCATGGAGATCTACGGTGGAGCAGACATTGATTTGTGGCCTGTGGCTTCTGCTCAGCTGATCAAGGTTCTGTGCCCGAAGAAGGCCGGGGTCTCATGGGAAAGGCAGCCCCGCTGCTGTAATTCAGCGCTGGGAGGATTGCAGCATGCGGGGGAGTCCCACGCCGGAGCAGCTCGGGAAGGGCTGCAGCTGTGGGAGGGAATCCAGTCGGAGGAAGTTAGTGACCCATGACGGAGCAGTGTGGGGAACGCTGCGGCCCATGGGAGGAATTCAAGTCGGAGAAAGTTTGTGGAAGACTGTCTCCTGTGAGAGGGGGACCACGATGGAGCAGGAGGAACAAGTTCCAGACACTCCCCTCATCGAAGATAAGGGAAGTGGCAGCGCTGCCTGCACCCCCCATTCCCTGCCCCTGCGCCACTGGGGGAGGAGGTAGAGATATCGGGAGCAGAGCTGAGCCCGGGAAGAAGGGAGGGGTGGGGGGAAGGTGTTCTCAAGATGGGGCAATGCTTCTCACTGTCCTACTCTGTTATGTGTTGTTAGTGTCTGTAATAAATGTATGTTCTTTTTTTCTTCCCCTAACGAGTCTGCCTTTTGCTCGTGATCATAAAGGGGAAATTTTCCCCCATCCCAGTCCTATCTCGAACCCCAAGCCTGGCTCTCTGTCCCTTCTCATTGCCGGAGGGGAAGGGAGAGAGAGATGCTGCGTTGTGGTTGGCTGCCAACCAGGCCCAAACCACGACATCATCTAAAGGGAGAGGCAGGAGATGGAAAAGGGATCGGGCTTCCCGGATGCGGAAGCCCAGGCATCCGACCATCACCTTCTCTCCTTGCAGCAAAGAGAGGGAAGGTCTGCTGCACCAGCACCTCCACCATTGCCTCCACTGCACCTTCCCTCTTGCTCCAGCATGGAGGATGGACAGCCAACCTGCTGCACTCCATGCTCAGGTGAGCACAGGGTGAACTACGAAGACCCTGCCAGTCAGCCCCTGTGCACATTCTCCTAGCTGGCTTTGGCTGCTGGAAGATGGCAGAGGAAGGAAGGCCAGGGAGACCCTGAAACCTCTCCAGGGCAGCTGAGCCTTGGTGGAAGGCATTCAAGACAGCTCCCTGCAGGGAAGAAGGGCCAGGGCAAGTGTGGCTCTATCCCCTTACAGATCCTGAAAACTCGATAGCACGCTGGAGGTACTGATGAGTGGTGCTTTGCCGAGCTCCAGCACCCATATAACAGAGAAAGTCTTTTGAGTCAGGCACTTCCCAAGACCAGAGCTCAGAGAGTCTCTTCCTTGCCTTTCCCTAAAGAGACACAACCTGGAGCATGCACTCCCCAACCCAGAACCAGGGTGGGTGGAAGGAGTCTGAGCTCATGCCACCCACTCCCTTCATGCTCTCCTCCCCCAGATCCCAACAGGGCAGCGATCTGCTGGAACACAGCCACGGTGGAAGGGGCGTCCAGCCCTGAAGCTCTCTTCTTCCGGCCTCCCCACAGACCCAGCCTCCCTGGAGGTTCCTGTCCTGGAGCTGGGACGTGCAGCCATTCCCAGGGAAGTATGGAGAAAGGGGAAAAAGCAGCTGCAGGGTGGGATCTGGCTTCCTCCCCAGCTGCAGTGGGTTCCCAGTGAGGAAAGCCTGGACACAGGGCAGGGGATTCAGCAGGGCTCAGCTCTTTGCCCCTCTGGGAGCTGCTCTCTCTCCCGTGTCTTTGCTCTGGGGATCCGGCTCCGTCCCAGGGCATGGAAGCATTTTGCAAGCCTGGCTCTGTCAGCCCTCCCTCCCTGCCTAGCCACTTCAGCGTTGAGAGTTTGCAGGGCTCCCAGTCCCTTGCCCACTCCTGGTCCCTTCCCCAGCCCACCGGCCCTCGGGCTCCAGCTCTTGGGAACCCTTGGGAGAGCCCACCAGAAGGATCTGGCAGGAGAGGTTGGCTTCTCTCCTCCTCCCAAGCAGAAAGCCAGATGGAACTCTCCTGCCCTTCCACAGCCAAAGAGGCACATGGAAATGGGCCCACTGCCACCCTGGCACATCTCCGGCTCCCCACAGAACAGGGAGCCAGGCACAGAGCTCTCCTCAATGCCCTCGCCTGCTGTGTCCAGCTCTCCCTCATTCCTGCTGCTCACGGTGTGTCTCCCCTCCTGCCCAGCCTGACGGGCAGCATGTGAGGATCCAGAGCCACCAGTGGAGTGGGAAAGTGCTAGCACCTTCTGGCCCCAGGAGCCTGCTGATGAGGTGACAGTAACAAGCTCCTTCACTGGGGGTCCTGGCTGTGGGGCTGGCAGGAGACTCAGCTGTACCCTGCCACCACACCTGTGGCACCTCTTCCCTCCCTCTCCCCCTTGCAGGAGCAACTTCATCTTCACAGTTTTGAGGAGCGTGGTGCACCCCAGGGTCTCCCACGCCCCAGCCAGTTGCTGACGTGCTGGAGGTGGTCCTGAGAGACTTGTGCTGAGCCAGCCAAGGTAAGCAGCATGCAGGACTGCCCTGTGTGTGTGCTCCTGAAATAAAAAGGGCTAAACCATAAGTCTCCAAGCAAAGTTGACTTCTGAGTGAACCCCCCCGACCAGCAACCAGAATCTTAACAGCATGAAATGCAACTACGGGAACAACCCCTGAAAACTGTAAGTAAACAACAGAAAGGAACTATAAATTTTAAACATAAACAAGAACTCCTTAAACACGCCTATATCCTGGCCAGATCTGGATGCACCTGAGTGAGCAGAGCCAATCCACCATGTATCTTCCATGCATTTTGTCACATTGATAGATTTGTGTTAAAACTGTACAAAAGCAGGACCCTCACACGGCGAAGATGGAGACCTCACCTACGAGTGGACGCACCACGGACTTCCTAAATGACGGGAAAGGCTCTCCGATCCTTCGCTGTGATGGGGATCCCCAGCTGAAGCATGTATCTAGATGATGAAGTATGAGGGCACTAGGTGATGCATCTTTCTCAATCACTATAGCTAGCTTTATGTGGTAATGACTAGGTGCATTACCTCGCTTCTTCTTTCTGCTGCTTTAAACTAAAGGAAAATAAGCCTATTTAGCTTGGTGCCTGTGTCCTTTGTGCTAACCCTGTCAATGGGCAAAACAGCCTCCCAGGGGCTGTTCCCCTGCCCCTGTCGCAAGGCCGGGGCTTGGGAGCACCGAGGCCAGCAAAGAGCGACAGGAGGGAAGCGGTTCTCGGTGGTAGCTGGGGTGATGGCTGCGCTCCACCCCGCTCCATCCCCTGCCCCCAGACGAGGTGGTGGGGACCATCCCTGTGCAGCCGGCACACATCAGCCCGAAGCCATGCCGGGACATCCTTAGGACCCTTCCCCAAGTGTCCCACTTGTTCCCTCAGAAGGTGACCACCCACCTGCCGCAGGCTTCCCCACACTGGGATGGGTACGTGGCCAGTCAGCCTCGGGGGCAGCTCAGGACCTCTGGGGCAGGCAGAAGGGGTGGTGGCCATGGTGGCCCCACAGACAGCGTGCTCCAGCTCCGCAGCGCTGCCAGGGCCACGTGGAGGTGTTGGCTTCGGGTGGCCTGCCCCCAAACCCAGCCCTCCCCCAGGGGTGTCGGGGCCACAGCCAGGCAGCCTGGCCCTGCCCTCCACGGTCCTCCTCCCTCCCCTCCTCTTCCTCCTGCCTGCTCAGCAGCCGGGAAGCCCTGGGCAGGGTGGCTCTGTGGCATGCAAGCTCCATCCCATTGCCTGGCTGGTGCCCACCCTGGTTGAAGACATGGGGAGGCAGGGTTCCTGGGGACATGCTCGTGAGCCCCGAGACCTACCACACTGCTATTGCCGTGCTGATGAAGTGAGAGCCTTGTCAGTTGTCCTCATCTCCCCCTAAGAGGAAGGGCCCCCCAACACAATCCCCTTCCTCATGGGTGGTGGGGCACAAGCAGCCAACACAAGGCACAAACTCACTCTCTGCTCACTCTGCTGCCAGGGCTGTTTCAGCTCCTGGGCCACACCAACTCTGAGCATGTCGAGGGCCACATCCTGAACATCCTCCAGCTCCATCTGCAGAGCGAGAGCTTGGCGCTGTGCAGGACGGCAGCCAGAAGCCTCACCCTGGGAGACCCCAGAAGGTGAGCAGGGACAGCCAGGCACAGTGAGAGCGACCGCCTGGGCTTGCTCTGGGTTTGTCAGGAATGGGAAGTGACAGGAATGGTGGCTGCTGCCACTGTGGTGACTGCGGCAACGGGGCGGCAGCCCTGGCTGTCCTCAGCCACACACTCGGCCAAGGCAGGCAAGCAGGCAGCCGTCCCCATCGCTCTGTGGCTGGTCGAGATGCTCCTGACACTCCTTGAAAACAGGAGAGCAGAGGGGGCACGTCTCTCTCCGTGCGTGCACACTGGCCCACGAGTTCTTCCCACTGCAGAGCAAGCATTCATCCTCTCACCGTGGGCTTGGAGGAGCTGGGACTGAGGTCCTCCCTTCTTCCTTCTCTGCTTCTAGGTACGTGCAAGAGCGCTCTGTTCTCCTCTGCAGGGATGCGGTGGAGGTTGCAGTCAGCACCCACAGCGAGCAGATGAGGGAGGACATGCAGAGGAGCCTGACGCCCCTGTTCTTCCACCTGTGGGACAAGGACCACAACATGGCTCAGGCGGGGATTTCTAAACCCTTTGACTGTGCCTCAGTTGGGGCCCAACCCCCGGAGGAGGGCTCAGAACCACCCCCTGCCTACGGCCACAGAGCCGGCAGCAGCTGAGTAGGTGGTCAGGGCTATTTCCTACACCATCAGCAGTGCACTGCCACCAAGACCCAAGCGCTGGAGCCGCCGTGGGCTCCTCTGCAGGTATCAGAGGCCAGGGTTTGGAACCCCAACCCTTGCCACCCCCCTGCCCCTGCTCAGGGACCCCCAGGTGCTCACTCCTGGTGAGGGTGGCCCCAAAGCCCCAAACCCAGCCTGGAGAACCCCCTCTCTCCCAATGCCCAGAGCTGCCTGCCTGCACAGGCTCCCTTTCCCCCCACCCAGAGCCCAGGGGTGCTGACGGAGCCCTGGCCCAGATGGGTTTTGGTGGCAGGGTGGCTCAGCAGCACCCAGGGAGCACCTTACCCTCTGCTCCCTCCAAAACCTGGCACCAGCCAGCCACTGGCTGGGTGTCATGGGTGTCTGGGCAGGGGAGGCCAGTCCTGGGTGTAGAGGGAGCATCTGTGCCCACCCCATCCCCTTGTGCTCTCTCCAACTGGTGGAGGACAGCAGCTGAGCATAGGATGGGGACCCCCAAGGGGGATCGTTACCCCAAAAGCTGATGCTGTGCCCAACGTGCAGCAAGACAATCCTAACGCCCTCAGGAGACATACTGTATTTTATTCAGCCCTGGGTGCTTGGTGGACTTTTCCACAAACCAAGCGCCCCAACAGCACATTTTGGTGCTGTTTTTATACCCAATCAGAGGGTAGCACTTTTCCAGATACTGATTGGCTAGTGATTAGCATGTAATTATAATACTGCTTACACAAGACTTGCATGCATGCTCCAGAGAAAGGTCTTGACCTGGGCAGGGGTCTTTTTGCCCTGTGGGTGTGTTTTTTTAGGGAAGGTAGTTGGTTTCAGGACACTTTAGAAGTTAGTTCCATTGCCAAGTTACTTAGTCAAATAGTCACTTGGCCAGGTTGTCAAATAATTCATCCTTAACGCATTCAATCCCAGCTATTCATATGATGATCCGAGACATTCTGCCTATTTCCTAGGATTTGGAGATCGAGGTCTATTTTTCATCGAATTCCTTACCCGCGGATCAAGGTCATCTTACCCACTATTCAAAGTTTTGCTCGAACCAATCTCCAAAACCTCACAATTCTCCCCATAGGTGCGGTTATCGCGGCTCCTAGCACAATTATTAACCGTGGCGACTAGCAAATGCGAAGTATTCCTCACACACATATACCCCACACTCACACACCCCCACCCCGCCTCGCTGTCGAGGCATTTCTGTCAATATTAACGCACCGACGGGCGCGTTGTCGGCCGGACAACCCCAGGCCGCCATTCGCAGCGCCAACCCCCGCGCTTCGTTCCGCCTTCCTCACCCGCCGCGGAGCGGGAGCGGCGGCCGCCGAGCTCCCGCCTCCTGAGGGGCGAGCAGCCATTTTGTGCGTGGCGGCTCCCGCGCCGGTCGAGGCGGCGGGCTTCCTGCTGAGAGCGGCCGCTGTCTCCCGCCGAGCCCGCTTCCCCCGTCGGCAGCGACAGAGCAGCGAAAAGCCTCCCGCCGAGGCGCGCACCCCTCTCCGACCTCCCTCCCGCCATGGCGGTGCGCGCACCCCACCTTCCCTCATCCGACCTTCCTCCCGTCATGCACAGCGCCCCCCCCTCCCCGTTCCGGTCCAGCTCTGCGCCATGATTGGCCCGCTGGGGCGCCCCGGCCGGAAGCGGGCGCCGCGGCGGGGAGATTTGAACCGCAACGGCCGCGCCGTGAGGCGAGCGCCCAGCCTGGTGAGTGCTGCCCGCCGGCCCCTTGCTGGGGCGAGTTGTCCAGTTCCCTGAGGCGGCAGCCTGCTGCTGTGTCCTCCCGAGGCGGGGGGAAAAACGACTGTCCTGGGTTTGAGTGAGTGGTGGGGCTTCTTGGTAGCAGGGGACGGGGCTGAGCCAGGGAAGAAGGGAGTGGTGGGGGAAAGGTGTTCTCAGGATGTGGCAATGCGTCTCGCTGTCCTATTCTTTTAGGTGTTTTTAGTGTCTGCAATAAATGTGTGTTCTTTTTTTCCTTCCCCTAGCGAGCCTGCCTTCTGGTCATGACCGTAATGGGAGATTTCCTTCTCCTGGTCGTATCTTGAACCCCAAGCGTGGCTCATTTGTCCCTTCTCATTGCCAGAGGAGAAGGGGGGGTGAGTGTCTGTGTGGTGTTTTGCTGCCGACCAGGCTCTAACCATGACGACGGCCCCTGCCCCGAAGGGGAAACCATCTCGGAGGGCCTTACTGCTGCCTCTGCAAAGCTAGCCACCCGCCCTGGCTGCAAGGCATTAGTGAGGAGCCCCGGAAAGGTGCTTGAGTTCCATGCCCTTGGCCCCACGGGCGCTTAGAATTTAGTGAATTTACTGCTCATCCAGTGAATTTACTGCTAGGTGTGCAGCGCTTGGTGGTGGCAGCAGGTCACCCCCGTCCCCGCTGCAGCAAGCTGGCTTTCTCTTTGTACGAGTCTTCTCAGAGTGGAAAAAAAGCATGAACGCTGGCAATGCTTTCTTCTTCAGGCACTGAAAAGAATTACAAAATCCCTGTTCCTCTCAGAATGGCTGTGGGTGACTATGAGGAAATTCTCAATTACTATGAATTACGTGAAACGATTGGGACAGGTAGGCTTAATCTGGGAATGCAAATACGTGTGCAATATGTCTGACCACTTTATTCATCTGGGTGTTGGTTAACTGTTGCAGTAGAATTCACAGGTCATGTTTCAAGTGTGTATTTTTGGGGGCAGATCTCTAAAAATGTAATGGGAAGTTGGTAGTGGCGATCGCTTTTTGCTCTAATGAGGACACTGCACACTGCATGCTAAATACTTCAGTGTCACTGTGAGATTATAGACAATAAAGCATATAATCACACTGAGCTTTAAACATCTGTTTTTCACATTCTAGGAGGGTTTGCAAAGGTAAAACTTGCGCGACATCTTCTCACTGGTGAAAAAGTTGCAATAAAAATCATGGACAAACTTGCTCTAGGGGTAAGCCAAAAGATACTTAAAAGTTGGTAGTGTTTTCTGCTGTTTTTGTGGAGTTCTCAGGAACACAGGCCTGTGACATGTTGGAATGCTGCCTGCTTGCCCAGTTGGCTGTTGATAGATGCTGTAGACTTGAAAGAATTTTAACAGAAGACCACAAATCTTGTGCCCTCTTGTGGAGAGGGCAACATTCTAGAGTTGTAAAATTCAGGAAGTTAAAAGTTATTACAGTAACTCAAGCAGAATGCTGTTGAGAGTACTAGCTATTTTACATCTGCCCCTCTGGGTTTTGCTGATCAATGTGCCAGAATTGAAGGGGAGTAATGGTAGAGCTGTTGCTGGATTGAATTTGAGCAGCTGAATTGTATGCTGTTGTATATATGCTGTGAAATTTTGTGTTGCACAATAGTCTGATGCTTACTGTGATGTACAGGCTGTCAAAGTAGTTGGCAATTTCATAGCTTGCTGTTGTGGTCTCTCAGGATGACCTGCCTCGTGTTAAAATAGAAATTGATGCCATGAAGACCTTCAGTCACCAGCATATTTGCCGGTTGTATCATGTGATAGAGACATCCAAGAAAGTATTCATGGTCTTAGAGGTAAGAAAAGTGTTTCTGCCATGACGAGGTTCCTGGTTTTAGCTGTAGCAGGAGATGATGATGGAGTTCAAATGAAACAATTCCTAAAAAGTTACTTCAGTGATGAGCATGTTCAAGATACTTTAAACATGAAGCTGGTAATACGTTCTGTCTTCTTGTAAAAGCTGCTCTTCACTGTTTACAATAAGTTAAGTAACTTTATTTCCTACCTTGTGCTTCAGATTTATTTTAAAATAGCACAAGAAGGACAGGATAGGTGGGACCCTGGAACTCCCATGCCCACACCCTGGCCAGTTTGTGTCACCTGTGACATTAATGTGATGTATCTGCTGTGGTAGGTCAGGCAAAAGTCCAACTTCTCAGCTGGTTTGGTCTGCTGAAGTGTTGACCCAGGGCACACCTGGGGGCACATGGGTGGTACCATGATAAAGCTGAGGGAATGGAAGTGTGCCCTCTAGTTCTTGTCCAGTGCTCTCGTTTAGATTTCATTACTGTATTCTAAATGTATTCTTTTTTTTTCCTATCTTCGTGCAGTACTGTCCTGGAGGAGAGCTGCTTGATTACATCATTTCTAAAGACCGCCTTTCAGAAGAGGAAGCTCGTGTATTTTTTCGGCAGATTGTTTCAGCAATTGCTTATGTTCACAGTCAGGGATATGCCCACAGGGATCTCAAACCAGTAAGCCTAAATAGTAGTCAGATTTGCATAAATAATAATGAACCCTCATTTTTATTTCTCCATTAGGAGCTGGAGTAAGTTATGCGTTCTCCATTTTCTTGTGCTTAGAGCTCTTTATCTAACACCTTCTGAAAGAGCATTGTTTCAACTTGCTACTACATTCTTCAGCTGAGCTGGATGTGGCTGTATCTGCGGAAAGGGCTTCTCTGGAAGAGAAACAGAACCATATGCTCCAACTGGGAGCGGAGCAGAGACATGGATCTGACCTTGAATGTTGCTTAAGCATTTTCCTATCCCCATTATTCCAGTTTGTACCTGGAGAGAGTCTTTACGGTGCCTCTCTGTTGTGCAAACTGTTCTGTTTTCATGCTCAAAGGAAAAGTAACACCAACAGTTTAGATAAGCAATGGCTAGACAAAGGGTATAGGGGGAGATGCATGCTACTGGATCCATCCCATGGTTTTTGCAGAGTTTTAGCATAGGTTTAGGGAATGGAAGACTTGAGCTCATTTGTCCTTGAAAGGGTTAGAAATTTGCATTTTTAGAAGTGCTGACATCTCTGAAAAAAGTAAATTCTTAGTGCGCAAATATTTTCCTAGACAGCTCATGAAACCTTTGTCTCCAAAGAACTCCCCAAAGAAAGCATTGTATGTACCTTATGGAAGGAGTTGGGTTGTAGCTGGTGAGCTGACGGATTCATAGGATCATGTGATAACTTGGATGGGAAGTGACTTCTAGAGGCTTCTGCTTGAGCCTCCCGCTCAAAGCAGTGTCAGACCAAGCTTTATCCAGTCACATCTTTGACCTCCCCCAAGGATGAGGCAGCACAATCTCTCTGGGCAACCTGTTCAGCTCTTCGCTGTCCTTATGCAGGGAAAGACTTTTCCTTATTTCCAGTCTGAACTTCACTTGTTGCCTGTTTGCCACTATCCCACCACACACTGCTGTGAAGAGACTAGCTCTGTCTTCATGCCCTCCTTGTAGTTATTAAAAGGCTTCCATGAGGTCTCCACTGAAGCTTTCTTGTTTACAGTCTGAACGAATCTCTCTCCCTCAGCCTCTCCTCGCTGAGCAAGTGCTCCAGCCCCTTGAGCATACTCGTGGCCATTCACTGGGCTTCAGTCTGGTGTCACTCCTGTGCCAGGGGGTGGGCAGAAACTAGGTGCACTATTCTAGCTGTGCTGAACAGAGGACTAGAGTAACTTCCCCGAGTCTACTAGCTGTGCTCCTTTCAGTGGTGTCCATGATACTGCTGGCTGCCTTTTCTGCCAGAGCAGACTGCTAGCTCACTCTTTCAACCACCAGCTCTCCCCCAGGCCCTTCTCAGCACATAGGAGCTAGTATTCACCATCTGGAATAGGGGATATATTCATTAGCAACCAGTCAAAAGCTCTCCAGACGATAACTACTGATCAAAAGCTCCCCAGAGCCAGATAAATTCTAGCTGCTGATGGCAAGAAGAAATAAGGTGAAAGAAAACGTGGTTCTTTGGATACTTAGGTTATAAAAGCACTCACTACTACTTTCTATTTTACCAGGAAAATTTGCTGATTGACGAGGAACATAATTTGAAGCTGATAGACTTTGGACTCTGTGCAAAGCCAAAGGTAATACTACCAGTTTCTTTCAGAGTAGAGCTAACTTAACTACTTCATGTGCATAAAAAAATGCATGTTTGACATCAGAGTGCAATGCAGAGGCTTGCCCAAAGACCCTAAATTCAAGTCGTTTGCACAGTCGTCATCCAATCACTAATTACTTGGTAGGGCCTTAACTGTGTGAGAGCAGTTAACTGCATGCTATGACCAGATTGTTAGATTGTTTTCTTCTCTCCCACTTAATCTTTTACCGCAATCTAAGGCAGAGATCATCTTCTATGTATAGCATATGCTATCACATGTAAAGGCCTATAATATAAAACTTGTGTTGGTGTGCATTTTTCCCTAATAAGTTTCAATGGTGTATGTCTTTTTTTCAAAAAAATTGTATGTATGTGGATATTGTGGATTGAATCAGTTTATTCCAGTTACATTTACAAATCCTCTGGTTCCATACGCTTGTAGTGATTTGTTTACTGAGTTTAAAATTTGTTTCTACGTGTCCTTTCCATTTGTCAGCTGAATACACGAGGTGGGTGCTGTTAAACAATTTAGTGAGAAGATCTTACTGATCCAAAAACCTGTCCTCAGATCATTGTACTTGACTCAGGTTAAAGCATCTTGCAGGCAGTCAAGACTATCAGACCATCATCTTGGTGTACTGTCATCTTATTCTGATCTTAGAACAAAGCCCAGGCAAAGTAAGAACATGGTTTTAATGAGGACGTATTTTTAGTAATTAAGTT